AACATTCAGTACATAGACTATACTTTACAATATTTTATACTTATACTAGCGCCAACCGCGCTAAGTATCAAATTCAAATATATATGAAATAAAGGTTTTTTTTTCTATTATTCTGTTATGTTTCTATTATTCTATTTATATTAAATTTATTTCTTTTTTTTTAAATATTAAATAAATAATAATAAATATTTAACGTTAATAATTTAATAATATTTAGTATGAATTATATAAAATAATAATTTTGTCATTTATATTATTACTAAATAATGAATGCTAATAACACTTTTTTTTACGAGTGTACATGCGCGAAAGTTCACCTGCGGCTATATTCAGACTCGTCAAGCTACGTCGGTCGTATTGTAATAAGCGATTTAGTGGACAACTTCATTTCTGTCAATTTTGTGTCACGGTGCGCGCGCATCGTAAAATTTCACTCTCACCAATTTTTCATAACGCGCCTAAAGAAGTATAACCTCAAAAAAAACAATCGAATATATAACCTCCTTTTTTTTAAGTCAGTTTAGAAAAAAACTATTTAGGAATTTTGCCTTTCTCGTTCCACCCGTACAATCAACTTATGATAGAAGTGCGTGTAGCTGAAACAAATTGATACTGGTGGTAGAACCTCTTGAGTCCGCGCGGGTAGGTACCAGCACCCCGCCTATTTCTGCCGTGAAGCAGTAACGCGTTTCGGTTTGAAGGGTGGGGCAGCCGTTGTAACTATACTTAGAGCTTACATCTCATGGTGGGTGGCGCATTTAAGTTATAGATGTCTATGGGCTCCAGTAACCACTTAACACCAAGTGCGCTGTGAGCTCGTCCACCCATCTAAATCCGTTTGTAAACAGCGAATTGTTGTTGGAAGACTCACCGAAATAGCGCGTGTGTAGCTAAGAAGTGGGAAGTATGTGAATAAAAAAAGTATGGAGTAGGTAATTTAAAATCACAACTATTTATTTTTATTACTATTTACGTAGGAAGTGTTTCTTTCCTTTCTATTTTAGTATCCTACTCTAACAGTTTATGGCGCTGTTTTTAAATAACAACAACAGTTCTATGTTTTTAATTAAACTTCAATTAAGTTTACTCCATTCGAATAACTGAAGAAGTGTTTTTTTTGTTATGATATTTTTTCCAAATGTTAAACATTAAATTTCTCTCCTGTAAAGTTGCAAAAATGTCGCTTAAACCAAATAGGTTTCACCCCATCAACAAGCTAACCTTAAAATTTCAATACCACATTTCTATATATCGACGCTTGAAAGGCAAACGTGACTAAGCGACAATAACTGCTTTGTACATAAATGATAGGCAATAACCATATTCGATGCGCAAAAAAAAATATATTTCTAAGTCTATTAAAATCATTTCAATCCTACAGCTACTAGCTAGATTCGTTAAAAAAAAATTGTTTTCAGGTATTTCAAATTTAAATTAGTCTATTGTAAAGTTCACGCATTGTCGATTAGTCACGTTTGCCTTTCAAGCGTCGATATATGAGTCGACTATTATCAAAGGCGGCAATGTGACTTTTGGACAATTATTGGTAAATCAGAAAAACGAATTATTGACTTTGTATTCTATTGGCAGTTACAAAACTATTCTGAACGACATCTTAGATAAATAACAGGTTAAGTATTAACCTTTATTTAATGCAGGTTTTGAACCGTATTCTTTGAAGGAGACTATTATATTCAAATCAATCTGTATTGACTGTATTGATATCAATAACATTTTTTGTCCAAATGCACAGATTGCCACCTTTGATAATAGACGACTCAATTATATAAGAACAATCGCTCATCCTTCCTTTCCTAAATAGAATTTAAATCTCCGCCACCCGAAAAACAAAAGTTTGGTTGAAATTTGCTAACCAGGTAGGTACATAATATATTTAACTATAATATAATATTGCAATTAATATATAATAAATTACATATAATACTGTATATATACTCTAATAAATTATAGTTAACAAATATGTAGATTACCAACTAAATATTCTTATCAGTCCTAGATAGATGTGCACACAAATTTGCAAGTTAATCTGACATCTATATATTAATACGTGAAGCAAAAACTTTGTATCCCTTTTTACGAAAATTGTGCGGACGGAGTATGAAATTTTCCACACTTATAGAGAATATAGAGAAGAAGTGCACAATGCTAATATTTTGTTAAAATAATGCACAAAAGATACATTAAATCAATAAAGAAAACATTACACACACTAAATACCATGTATTTGACGCACACACGCATGCATACTATTAATTGTCAAACTTTTGTTCTTGACGTTGTCAAATTGAGAATACATTAAAATTAAATATTGTTTGTGTTTAATAATATTTTTTATAGTGTAGCCTTGGTGAAATTTGTGATTATAGAAGTATAAAATACAATCATAATAGTGTACAAATTTATTATACAATTCCAATGAATTATAGTCGAATTTCGACTACTGCGGGACCACTAGTAGGTATTAAAGTCAGTTAAAATCACGTTTAAAAATTATGTTACATACAAAAAGAGATACACACACACATACCAACCTAATTATTTTTATTTTATTTTTTGATTTATAACTTCTTATACTAGAAAGTATAAAGGCGGACTTAATGCCATAGGCATTCTCTAACAGTCTACCTTAGGGGAGTGCAGAGATGAAGCTTGGTAGGTGTAGTGTGAAGGTGATATCACTTAAACATATGTACATAATTAAAGTGAGTTTAAAAGACCCAATTAATACTGTTTAATTGAAAAACAAGTAAATAGCTGATGCTGCTATCATTCAACATTAAGTAGGAATATGTATATAACTTAGATCGCAGACCATAATCTATATTATATTCTATTAAACTTCATATTATATGTTTAAATTTATACGAGATTCGATTGAAAGTTCTCTCTGTAACAACATCTCAAAATGTGCTTCTGCATTGAATTAAGTCTCAGAGAGTCATCCAAGCCCCTCAAAGCTAATGTAATGACCTCTTCAAATTTTTTTTTACTATCAGATTTCTTCCCTACATTAGTTTTCAGACAAAAAAACTTGTACTAAAAATTATATGGCTCCAACTTCTTCCTCAATCTTCAAAAACTTAACTCTCTGAAGATTGGAATTGGAAAACATTGCTATCGAGGCAGCCCTCTTGAAACAGTGACTGAATGTGAGTACTGCCACTTTTTTGGGCATCGCTACCATGATTATATGCCCGTCGACTATCTCCATTACTTCGATTTCAATTATTGGACACACCGAGAGCACTGGGCAGTCGCTTCTCTCCATAAAATTATACTGTTTCAATGGCATGTGGTTCATGAAGTCTAACTCTCCATTTGTGAATGGCGAATGATATATTCTTAGTACACCCCAATCGGAGCCGACAAAAAATATGTCTCCATATGACCTCACTGTCACTATATCTCGTAGTGGACCTTCCGGTAATTTGAAACATAGGGCAAACATCCATTGAATGTATACTCTCCAATCGAAATGGTCGAACAGGTTATACTTATTGAATTCATGTAACAAATTACTCTCCTCTGTTATAGTACACTGTAGTTGTAATTCATGTCCGATTAATGTATAAATATTCCGTTCCAACGTAATGATGTTCAAGTTTTTGCCTGTATGCCCTAAACAAATGATGCCCTCCATAGACTGTACTAGGAAATGCGATTTTAATTCTTTATCGGACAGGTACACAGCGTATATACTTTCGTCTAGAGATACGTAATAAACTACGTTGTCTATCACATAAAACAGTTTACAATTATCATGAGAAATACTAGCTATGTGCTTGGGGCTACGTATTAGTTTTCTTGTTATGAACAAATGTAGATTGCTATTCATCAGGAGTACTGTGTCGTCAGTTTCGACATAGCGGTTGTAGTCGCCGTAAATAACTGCGTGTTTGCTTCGCTGTAGCGTGTCCAAATCATAATACACCACGCCGGCTTTAGTGTGGACTCCGGCCGTTCCGTTTCGTAAATATCTGAAGCCCTGGATTTCGCTGGCCACCGTGGTTGCTGACGCGAATTCGTCGTAGTGCTGTCTAGCGAGGTGCAGTTGCCTCCACAGAGTCAGAGACCTGTAGAGCTCGTGCCAAGTGATCTGAGGACGGGAGAGCCGGTGAGCGAATTTGTAAACGTTTTTAAAGTCCTTTCCGCAAAACTTATACCACAATGAATGGTATTTGTTGAGGGTATCGATGACGTTCTTCCAGCGGATGCAAACTTCCCGGCATTTCGTCAACTGTTTCGCTGGTAGAAAAGTGAAAATGTGCGATAATATTTCGGTGGGAAACGATTCTAAAGGTGTCACTTCGTCTTCGTTGTCCGACATTTTTACAATAATGTGTGCAAGTTTATCACTACCTATATAGAAGTTTATTCAATCGAAAATCATTTTGAAGTTTTTAGTGTAGTGTAGTTTTTATGTAATTTTAATATTTTAAAACATATTTCCACTGGGATTTTTGATTCATTAATGAAGTTTGATGTTTTTTATAGGTTTTACGGTGTATGTCCAATTCATAGATTATACACTTAATATATTTGAGGTCCAATTAGTCAAGCAAAGGAAAAATAGCATATACAGTCAAATTTAATAGTAGGAAATATTAATATCCCTATAACAAAATTAATGCTATTCCGGTTTGAATGGTGAATTAATCATCAGCATGTTGTCTACAAGCTTCGGTAACCACTTGGTAAGTGGACGTGGGCTGTCTTGAGTTTATTCACAGATATAAAAATACTTTATAAAACTATTTTCATATATTTTCTTAAGTTTTTATTAGAACAGAAAAAATCTACCGAGAGCAATCAACTGGATCATTTGGCCACAGCATGTTAAAGTTATTAAAATGTTTGAATTGCATTATTTTTGTAACTTAATACCTCTGCAGGTTCTAATGTTAATGCTTCCTCATTGTTTATTACGTTTAATTTGTTAAAATGGTGGTTTATGGCTTATTGACCATTTTGCGTCTATGAAAGTAATATTAATGGTCTATGTTTGATGAGTGGTTTTATAACCGCAGATGTCATGTGTAACAAGTCGTTGAACTCTCAGTAAATTCCTCCCATTTTACTTACTACTTAATTTCATCTTACGGAGCATCTACAGGGTTATATTACTTCTTAAAATTCTATTTCATTTGATTTAGTTCCACTTCACATTTCATACGCATGGCTTTACAAAAAGTTTACGTTCTTACAAAAGATCTGGCTGCTTGAACTGTATTACTTTTGCCTGTTGAACGGAGGAACAAAAAACAAAAAAGCAAGCAACGGAAATTGTTTACATTTGAAAAAATAAAACAATGTCGGCTTTTAAAACTTTAAAAGAAGTCAGTCAGAACTTCGAGCAGGAGTTAAAGCAGCTGTCCAATGTGCTATTCTCCGCTAAAATCGGAGAGACCTTCGAGGATGCGGTTTCAAAGAAACTGCAGGAGCTATCTCTATTCTCCTCCAAACTTAAGCTTCTGAGAGCGAGACCTGTATCACGTAAGTCGTATTCGAATTTTAAAAATAAATGAATAGAAAAAGAATACCGTAAAATGGGGCGATTAGGGACAAATTCCAACTTTAGGAGCAATTTTAAGGTAGTTGTTGATGTATATAATGCTATATCAGGATCAAAATGATTGAGTCTTGGGGGCATCTTTGTTGTCTAATTTAAAATTATGCAAGTAGCATTCCAGTTTAAGCAAAAAATGCAAAAATAGGTGTAATCCCTATTTACCCGAAAATTGCGGTTAATTGGGACGAAATGAGAAATTTGCTAGGGTTGGCACTACTTTTATTTTTATATATAGTTTTAATTTATTTATTTATTTAGTTGCACCAACAAAGTGATCATCAATAAAAAAAATTGAAAAACTGACAAAAGTACATGGCAGACATCACCTCAATTATAGGTGCAATCGACAGTGCTGATATTTCTATCTGGGTTAAGAGATTAGGTGTGTCGGTTATTCCATGGATTAATCAGATGAATACCCCCACTCTGAACAAATATTAAATATTTTATTATGTATTACTTAGACATTTTTGTCCACCTTGAGATTTCATTGATCTTGTTACATGTCTCTGCAAAATCGACTTACTTATATTAAATTGCTTATCTATTTCAACTAAAGACTTATTCCCAATTTCGCTTCGAATAAACCAGATTTTTACCAACAAATTTAAAAAATATTGTTATAACTACATAGACAACCCTACAAACCTGTACCTATTTATACTTAGGTCGTTTCCATTTCACGTATTCTCATCCCAATTGACCCCTTTTTCGTTGTTATTTGTACCTAAGACGTCCCCAATATCCCCAAAAACAACAGATTTTTACATGTATTTTTATTTAATCAAATACATTAAAACCAATAACAACTGAGACTTACCTTTAATATATATGCTGGTTCAAACACTAAATAACGTTTATAAATCATAGTCGTCTTCTATTATTATCAAATAAATAAAAGAGAGCAAAGTTTCTAGCACTAAAATAATTACCACCACAGGAAGTTAATTTGAAACGTGATTTTTTATAAGTTAGCAGCTATTATCATGCATATTCAGATTTGTTTTGTGAACTTTCAACATTCTACTTTTAAACTACAAAAAAATTGAAGATTTTGCAACGAATATAAAACTTATATTGAGCGTCGAAAGATTTTCCCGGTTTTTTCCCGATTCGCCTTTCAATCCCTAATCGCCCCATTTTACCGGTACATTATAAACCTTTTTTTTAAATTTGAATGCCATTCTCATTGCCAATACTATAGCTGGTTTGCGTTAAAGTCTAATAATTTTCCACCGTGAGGTACTTCAACTGTGCCCGAAATATATATACGGATCTTAATAGCGTTATTATAACTAGAAGTTCCCTTTTTTTTATTGCCCTTGTAGGCACCTGATGGATGATAGGTCTCTCCAACTGATATCCAGTAATGTATTTACTGAAGATATTATTTTACTACTGTTTCATAAACCAAAATATTATTTAGCTGTGAACATATTTCGTTGTATATAATGATCGAGTATTATAAACTAATTGCAGTGACTCCACAAATAACGGAACAAGTCAAGACCGAAGAAATCATTAAAGAATACGGTGATGTAGCAGCTATCAAATTATTAGAGAAGGTCACTGTGAAATGCGTTGCACAAACACATGCTGTAAAAAAACTTATAACGACACCTGACAGAGCTCTGGACGCTGAGATGCTTACAAGGAAACAGTACGTTAAAATTTAGATCAAGTGAGGTTAATTAAAAATTATGGTTGTGCAGTAGTAAAAAGCTCAGTGGCCACTGTTAGCCAGAAAGTTAGCAAGGGACTTAAAACCGCAAAAACTAACAATGGCTTAAATGATCGACAGCTGATTCCATAATATTAGTCAAATCCTATATCATGCACCAATTTTACAAAGATGAAATAATTAAAAATACAATTATAAATAATCTTAATAAAGTTTGAATTTACTTTTAAACTGCTTTGTATGCAAAAGTAATGCTTACAAAGCCATTTGTTATCTATGGGCGATACTAGGGGTAGGCTGGTTTTGCATCAAAATTTATTATGATTTAATAAATTATTGCAATTGAAGCATGAATATGAAAAATTATATTATGTTAGGCAACTTTTGCGCTGACAACCTCGATTTGATGTCTATGGTTACTCTACTTACCAGATGGTCTTCAAGCTCGTTTACCTATGCTAAAAAACTGTCTGACGTATAAACTCTCTTTAACCACAAAGAGTTTAAGTTAAAACCACAAAACTATTTGGAATACTATTTTTTACTGGTGGTAGGACCTGTGAGTCCGCGCGGGTAGGTACCACCGCCCTGCCTATTTCTGCCGTGAAGCAGTAATGCGTTTCGGTTTGAAGGGTAGGGCAGCCGTTGTAACTATACTGAGACCTTACAACTTATATCTCAAGGTGGGTGGCGCATTTACGTTGTAGATGTCTATGGGCTCCAGTAACCACTTAACATCAGGTGGGCTGTGAGCTCGTCCACCCATGTAAGCAATTGCAAATAATGAAATGACAATATGTATTAAACAAGAGAGATTTTAGTGTAAAAGTAGTTTTAAATACACCTATAAATATTTTACCTGTAACCATTTGAAATACGAGATAAAAAGAGTCAATGAAATCACAACAACAATGTTTTAATGCTTTATCACTTATCAAATATATATTTATTTTTTTTTCCGGGCCGAGGGCCGAACCTCCTACGAGGTCCCCGCGCCTAGGGGGCGCGCGGGGTATGTGAGACTCAACGATCTGCAGGTGTTGAGAGCAGACCGCGGGCCCAAGGAATTTAGGGCCCACCCACTAAACGACTCCCCTGCACTCTTACACCCGGCGTCCGATCTCCGTCCGGGGTCAAAACCCGGTCAGAGTAGGGGGGTTCCCGCGGTCAACACTACAACCAGACACGCGGCGCCACCCCGAGGACGCCCGACCGACGGGTCGTCGAGGCGATAGTCGACGACCAACGACGTCAGTCTCCGCGGTACGGCGGCCCTTCAGGCCGCCCGGGCGATGCCGCTGGTGTTCCGGGATACCCCGCTGGGCCAGAACCAGCCTGCCGGGTCGGAACGCGATACACCGCCGACCGGGTTGCTCTTCCACAGTATGTTCGGCGACGACAGCGACGACGAAAATGCGGACCGCATCGCAGTCCGCAGCCACCGACGCGCCGTCCCGTCCTCCTGGTGCCAGCGCGCTAGAGTGACGGTAGCGTGCGGCGCAGTCTCAGCCCCCTTAGGTCGCCCCGTGACCATCACCGGTAGGAGACTGCCTCCTCATAGGGGCCGGAGCTGGACAAACGCCCTCCTCCGACCCCCGGCTCGACGGCGGCGGCACGGCGGTAGTTCTTTTGACGTTCAACAAGTATGTACTTTCATTTATGTTGAATAAAAAATTTTTGATTTGATTTGATTTGATTTAGAGGGAGGAAGAGTTCTCCCTCTCCCGTTCCGCCGCCTCCTTCTGCGAGATGGTGGACTCGCAGAAGTCGAGCATCGCCTGCCAGGACTCATCGCTGCCGAGCATGGCAGCCACGACGGTCTGAAGCGACAAGTCCGGTCCTATTGCGTGTGCTCCGCCGTGTCCTCGTTGCAGCCACTGCAATGGTGGCACTTCGGCGTCGGCTCCCTCCGGGCGACGAGGTGCAGGTAGCGACCGAAACAGCCGCGTCCCGTGAGCACCTGCGTCGCCCGGAAGGTGAGACGTCCTCGGTCGCGATTCACCCAGTCCGAGAGGACCGAGCGGATCGCCTCGACGGTCCGTCGCCCGTAGGCGGGGTCCGCCAGGCGGCGAGACCACGCCTCGAGCACGGCACGCCGAGATTGAAGCTTCCGCGCTCGAACTTCCGCCGCGCCGGGACGCGGCTCCCCCCTGGAGCGGAGATCACATCGCCATCACTTATCTAATGATACAGCTCAATTCAAATTTGCTGGGATTTCAGTAGAAATGAAAATCTGAATATATCAGAATATATCAGATCATCATGAATATTTTATGGTAGGCAGCGGCTTGGCTCTGCCCCTGGCATTGCTGACGTCCATGAGCGACGGTGACCACTTACCAGCAGGTGGGCCGTATGCTCGTCTGCCTACAAAGGCAATAAAAAAAAAAAAAAAAAGTAATAATTTTCTTAAAAGATGAAATACATCATATGATTTTTTTACTCACTGTTTCTGTATAAATGTCGAAGGGTAAAAGACCATTTGGTTTAAGCGACATTTTTGCGACTTTAGAGGAGAGTCGTTTTTAAGTTAAAAATTTGGAAAAAATCTTCTTTTCTCTTCTTTTTATCCACCTTATCCCGCTAGGTGTGGTCGACACTTTACTTCATAGGATCATTTCTATAGTAAACTATTACCGAGTACCTGGAATAAATATCACAACAAAAAAACATCTTCAGCTGTTTCAATGGAATGGTAAACTTAATTGAAGTTCAATCAGAAACATCGAACTGTTGATGCTGATATCAAATAAAACGGACCTTTAATCACAAACCAAACATCCCTTCACCCCTTTATATGCTAAGCATGGGTCATTAATTGCGGTATGTATTGCAGAAATATAATGGAAGCCTTGACAAACTATAGAGATAAGGAAACTAGTCTTCGTCACTTTGAGATGATATTACAAGAGAAACAGTACGAGCAAAATTTGTTGCGGGCTGAGTGGGATAAATCGCTCGGTGAATTGAGGGATATGAAGGCAGCGGTCAGTGACGACGAGGAAATGGACACCAACAGTGCATATTATGTGTTAGTACTGTTTTATATGAGTTGTTTTATATGAGTATGTGTGAGTACTGTTTTATATTTATATATCTGATTTATATAAAAGAGAATGCATGTGTGCATGTTAGTTCAACTATAACTCGTGAACCGTTAGCCCAATTTATATGATATCTATATATGTATATTAGCTCAAATTGATAATATAAAAAAGAAAATGTCTGTGTGTAATAAATTACTAATAATAAATATGAACAAATCATGCATGGTCATTCAATCCCAATTTAGGATTCGCTGTGTTTTGGGTACTGGAGACTTTTTTTTATTGCTTAGATGCGTGGACGAGCTCACAGCCCACCTGATATTAAGTGGTTACTGGAGCCCATAGACATCTACAACGTAAATGCGCCACCCACCTTGAAATATAAGTTCTAAGGTCTCAGTATAGTTACAACGGCTGCCCCACCCTTCAAACCGAAACGCATTACTGCTTCACGGCAGAAATAGGCGGGGCGGTGGTACCTACCCGTGCGGACTCACAAGAGGTCCTACCACCAGTAAAAAAACACACAGACACAAAAAGACTCACATTCAAACTTATAGACGTTTAAATGTATACATATTATGAAAAAAACCTTTATCATTTAAAACCTTTAAAACTGTAGATTTTAAGAAAGGTTTTTCTTAGACGGAATCACTCACCTATCTGCCATTCAATAAAAAGGGTAGTTCAGTTTTGCATAGTACATATTCAAACCATTCAAACCGAAACGCATTACTGCTTCACGGCAGAATCACCAGTAGTATTAAAATACTTGGCCCTGTCTATTTCTACCGTGAAGCAGTAATGCGTTTCGGTTTGATGAATTCGGTAGCCGTTGTACTTTAAAACTGAGATATATACCTCAATGTAACATTTACGTTGCTGATGGCGATGGGTGAGCCGTATGCTCATCCACTCATTTAAGCAATATATTTACTGGTGGTAGGACCTCTTGTGAGTCCGCGCGGGTTGGTACCACCACCCTGCCTATTTCTGCCGTGAAGCAGTAATGCGTTTCGGTCTGAAGGGGTAGGGCAGCCGTTGTAACTATACTGAAACCTTAGAACTTATATCTCAAGGTGGGTGGCGCATTTACGTTGTAGATGTCTATGGGCTCCAGTAACCACTTAACACCAGGTGGGCTGTGAGCTCGTCCACCCATATAAGAAAAAAAAACGTTTAAAAAAACTAAAAAACACGCTTTATATAAAATTCAACAAAAAAATAGAAAATAAATATTAATAAATTTAAATTGAAAATAGTGTACAAAATATATATATTTTATTGTAAAAAAAAACGTGGGGTGCATGGTGTTATAAGTTATAAATATTTTTCTGACAGATATGAGTGGAAGAATTATTATTTCAATAATATCTGAAAAAGCACCCCACGCTTTTTTTAAAATAAAGTATATATATTTTTTTACACTATTTCCAATTTAAATTTATTTTCTATTTTTTTGTTGAATTTTATATAAAGCGTGTTTTTTTAGTTTTTTTAAACGATTATTTATTTTTCATTCTTTAGTTAAATTTTCTATAAAAGCGTATTTTTAAAACTATTAAGTACTTTAACAACAATTCCTGTCTTATCGACTATAGATAAAAACTATATAAATTGGCAAAAATCTTATTTTGCAAATTGAATAATGGAATAATCTTATCAAATTAGCATATTGTCATCGGTCCTCAATAAATCTACAAAGTTTAATTGAAATCTGGCCGTTTAACGTGGGTCAAAATCGCGTCTAAAGGAGTCAGTTACAAACATACAAACATACAAGTGAAGCTTAATATAAAGCGTGTAAAAAAAGACGTGTGGCACTCGGGGACTGCCGCGTTAAAACTATTACATAGCATTTTTTATCAAGTTATGCAATTATAATTAGACAATAATAATTTAATATTAATACAATAATAAAATAAGACCACGCTATATTTATGAACATTAATAAAAGTAAAACATTAACTTCACACTCATAAGGTAGAGCGCGCCAGAGAGAAATGGGCAGACTTTTCATGATGCGCATGCAGTGTGACGTCACGCCACGCGCTTATTCACAAACACACTACACAAGCGCAACGTGTGAATGTGTTGAACGTGAGCTACACGGTAGGCGGAGTGGGGGGGGTGTTAGGTTTTATTTTCGTTACGGAATTTCTTGATTCGGTCACCGCGCTCAGAGCCTGCGATAAAAGCTATGCAATAGCTTAAAAACTAAATTTGTAATATATATATTTTTTTTCATTCAGACGCCTTCGAACCTTGGTCTCGAAGATGGAGATGATAAGGTGGCTTATAGGAAGATTGGTTGTTTGTCGTAAGGAGAGCAGAAACGACCCCCGAAGAGCCCTGCAAGCTTTGAAGATGGCCAGACAAGTGTTAGATGTTGATACGTTCATGTCGGATTAATATATATATGATTCTTTTTGGTTGTCTTTTATTGAGCAACACGGATTTCTACAGCAATCATTTTTTTCCTACTTATTCGTTGGTAGCCTAAGGGGCTTTCTGACTGGTTGGGTAGTATTCTGTTATATATACCTAATGCCTATAATAAAACTGCGCAATTAGTATTCCGACGCTCCGCACTTTATACGCGGCAATGGAGAGTCGATATATCGACGCGGACGAGTAGATGAGCTCACGAGCTCACCCTCAAAGAACTGGATAATACTGTCCCTAGCAAGAGCCGTGCTTCGCAGAATCTACCACCGGATCGGAATCGCGACCCACTGAGAAGATCCGGCGAGACACTCAGTGGGCTGTGTCTGTGGTTTAAGTTGCACGTCCCATTCGACGGGGACCGTGGGCAGTGCTTGGAAAGCCTAAAATCATCCAATGTGCTTAGTGCGAGTTTTTTAACGTTCTCGATAAGGTAAAAGTTAGCTCATATTTGTATGGAATGGGATCGTTTGCGTACGTTTGCCGTTAGGAGCGCTGTTCCAACTGCATACAAAATTGGGTTAACTTTTACGCAATCGAGAACGTTATGAATCTCGCACTAAGCACACAGGAGGTTTTGCATCGCCCCGTCGCTTGGATCGAATATGTAGTTAGAGACAGTCACGATAAGAAGGTTCTTGCGCCGCTTTCTCGAAGTAGCATTCTGACGCTGTCACGGATCAACTGTTTACGGTAATTTAATTAAAAAATCAAACGGTTTTATACGTGCGTTTTATTAGTTTATGCATGAAATGAATACTTATGTTTTATCAGACTACGATGGAAACAATGCATGTTTTTCTGTATATTATTATGCGCACCCTCGTAATTATTTAAAAGCTAAAAACTTTTGAATATGATCAAGCGACTTGAACTGCGTTAAGCGTTTTCGTACTACCGACAATATTTCTTCTATTCTTCCTCGATTTCGCGATGATCTTTCGTCTCTTGAACACGCATTCGGGATTTTTGTCGCGCATCTCGTCAGCATACTTCAATTTCGCGTTGGCTTTTTTAGTTTTAGCAATGAACTTTAACGATTGATAGAAATTTTGCGGTTCCACGCTGCCTAGAGGGCTGTTAGTCAATTCGCGTTTGAGAATATCAATGAAGTCACTTTTCATGCGTTTTTTAGTCGATTTATTGAATCGACTATAGTTGCTGGTACTTTGAGGGGTCGATTTTAATCGATTCTTCTCATGTACTTTAGGTTTTCTGTTGTCACTTTTAAATACTGTTTTATACGGTAAATAATCTTCAAGTACAAAATTATTATCATAATAATTTGTAGTAGGTTTTACAATTTTTTTATTAGAATCATTTATTTTCGTGGCAACGTCTTTATTGTTGTCTACGAGTTTTTTGGCAACGGATTCCTCAATCTCAAAGCCAAGATTAGACTCGCTCAATTTTAATTTATTCGTTTCAAGGCTTTCTTTCATGTCGCAAGCGCTGAAAGTCGTTTCTAAGATGTCTACAAAGAAATTATACAAATTTTTGTCGTTCGCTTTGTGTTCCGAAACCAGAGTCGCCGGTTCGTCTATGGTAACTCTCTTTGTTTTTTTCCCTTCTAAAACTTCCTTGGCTATAGCCGTCACGTTATTCGAACTGATTTTACAAACGTCCCGGCTCTGATCAGAATATAATGACGGACTACTAAATTTGCTACTGTTCATTGATTTCAATACAATGAAATTATCATCGTGATTCCTGTTTAAGGTTTTAGATTTAAATTTACTCTTTTTTTCGTTGTTCATCGCTTTCGCTCTTTCGACTTTAGTCTTTTTTGGGATAATTTCTTCGCCGCTTTTGTCCGGGGCTGGTTCCGGAAACTGCGTACTTGTTGTGCCTTTAGATAGGATATTCAAAACTGAATTTAGAAATTGTTTGTTGTCGCGTCTCCGTGTGATTTGATTCGGCAACGTTTTCAAACCTTTGGTCACTGAAAAAATCAAATCAAATTTTAGAAAATCGATATGTTTCCTGAAACTTTGAGTTTTTTGTGAATCTTGCGTTTCCTGGTATTAACAATGCGGAATGTAGCTTAATATTCAGAATAAATGAAGATATGAGTGGATAAAGGAGTTCTGTACTATTTTTAAGATTTTTGAGTTTTACATTGAATGAAGGAGCTACGTACGAAGAAAAAGCAAAGGTAAAAAAGCTTTATTGCCCGTTTCCTGAAAATAAAAAAATTGTATCATATACCCTTTTTTTTCCTACCTAAGCTGGTAGCCTAGAGAGGCTATTCCAGTGTAACCGTAACTAGTAGGTGAGCTCACGGGGCTCAAACCTGATGACGATGCTAACACGAACCCTAGCAAGAGCCGTGCTTCGCACAATCTACCACCGGATCGGAAATGCGACCCACTGAGAAGATCCGGCGAGAAACTCAGTGGGCTGTGTCTGAGAGTTAATTTACTCGCCGAGCCCTTCGTCGCAAGCGACGGGTTCGACGAGAACGACGACCGATGCTTGAAGTACCTAGAAGCACCGTTAGTGGATCGGGAGGATCCGAGATGACGTGTTTTGGGCGACGTCGACTGCTTTCCATTCTTTCCGCAGGATCGGGAATGTAGTTACCGGCGGCCACGATGAGAGGGTTCTCGTGTCGTACCGCTTTATCGAAGTGGCGTATCGACGCCGACTGTAAATACTTACTGATGGACTCTAAGTCCAGATCGTCATAGAGGTCGACGTTCCTGACGAACCACGGGGCTCCGACGGCTATCCTGCAAAAACGGGATTGAATGATTTGGAAGGATTTTAAGTGAGTGTGGGCCGCGTGAGCGAACACTACACTTGCATAGGTCATGACGGGGCGTATGCAAGTTTTGTAGAGTGTCACCTTATTTCTAAGGGAAATTTTACTTCGTCTGCATATCATCGGGTAGCGACGTCCTAGAATGAAGGCGGCACGGTCGCGTACCGTCTTTATATGAGGGCGGAATGTCATCCTTCTGTCGAGGGTGACGCCTAAATATTTGACCTTCGGGGCCCACGGTATGGGCTGGTCGAACATCGTGATTGGGCGAATGGCGGAGGCGGAGGTGTCGACGCGCCTAGACGGGAGAGGGATGCTCAACGTGGTGTTCGGAGGGCGACCCCTTTTGAAGAGCACCGCTGTGCTTTTCGTGGGGTNGGCTGGTCGAACATCGTGATTGGGCGAATGGCGGAGGCGGAGGTGTCGACGCGCCTAGACGGGAGAGGGATGCTCAACGTGGTGTTCGGAGGGCGACCCCTTTTGAAGAGCACCGCTGTGCTTTTCGTGGGGTTGATGTCGATGCGCCACTTCCGGAACCACTGTCCCATGGTGGTAGCTGCGGTCTGAAGTCGCCGATGAAGCAACGCCTTCTTCCTACACGAGTAGTAGATGGCGGTGTCATCGGCGAAGAGCGCCAGATGGGTCTCCGGAGACCGGGGTATATCATTGATATACAAACTGAATAGTAACGGGGAGAGGGCGGAGCCTCGCGGGACTCCGGCTGTGACGTGACGGGGGCGGGATCGCGTTCCCTCGACTCGATATCGGAACGAACGGTTCGACAAGTAGTCTCGTATGATGAGCACGAGTCTGTCTGGCACTCACATGTTATACAGTTTGTATATCAAACCGTTGTGCCAGACTTTGTCGAACGCCTTCGCTATATCGAAGAAGAAGGCTCTTGTCGGGATGAAGAAATTGTATCATATCCCCTTCATCCACTCATGTCTTTAATTATTTTATTGAATTTTACATGAATCTGAAATTAATTTATATTACATAAAATACATATTTACATCTAATACACACACACGCACGCGCACGGGCACACACACACACAAAATCTACACACCATACACAAAACAAACATACGAATACCTTGTGTCTTCTGCGCGAAGTTTCTCTTCTCGACGTAAATACCTTTCTTCTTTGTCTCCGGCAAAACATTGAGGGCGCTATCATTAAGCGTTTTATCTTTAATAATTTTAGTTTTAATTGTGTTAGAAGAAGACTTCGACTTCAGAATTCTCCGGTTCGGCTTCTCCATTTTCTTTATAACGTTAATGTTCAAGGTTGCGTAGCTCGAATAATTTTCATGTTGTGTTTGGGTTGTTGTTATATTTTTTTAATTGTATTTATCATTTACGTGTTCATGCGGTTTCTTGTTTTTAATTTGATGTGACGTTTTTCTTAATGTCACTATATAGTTCGATCGAGTATTTTCGCGAAAAGTTCGAAATTAAATAGTTTGATTAGATTTAGCTATTGAGTTAATTTGATTATTGATGTTGAAACGGACTTCGAAGTTGAGCTTTTTTTTTGTTTTTCCTACCTTAGCTGATATCCTTGAGAGGCTATTTCAGCGTGAGCTCACGGGGCTCAAACCTGACGACGCTGCTAACACGAACCCTAGCAAGAGCCGTGCTTCGCTGAATCTACCACTGGATCGGAAACGCGACCCACTGAGAAGATCCGGCGAGAAAGTCAGTGGGCTGTGTCTGAGGGTTAATTTACTCGTCGAGCCCTTCGTCGCCAGCGACGGGTTCGGCGAGAACGGTGACCGGTGCTTGAAGTACTTAAAAGCACTGTTAGTGGATCGGGAGGATCCGAAATGACGTGTTTGGGGCGACGTCAATGCTTTCCATTCTGTCTGCAGGATCGGGAATGAAAGTTGAGGGTGTTCAGAGGTACTACACTAATCACGGTAAGAACTATATAAATTAACGAGAATCATCTCATATTCAAAAAGTCGTCGTGGCCTAAAGGTCCGGTGCATTCATATTGAGCGATGCACCGGTGTTCGAATCCCAGGCGGATTCTAATTTTTCTAATGAAATACGTACTCGACAAATGTTCACGATTGACTTCCACGGTGAAGGAATAACATCGTGTAATAAAAATCAAACCCGCAATATTATAATTTGCGTAATTACTGTTGGTAGGACCTCTTTGTGAGTCCGCGCGGGTAGGTACCACCACCCCGCCTATTTCTGCCGTGAAGCAGTAATGCCTTTCGGTTTGAAGGGTGGGGCAGCCGTTGTAACTATACTCGAGACCTTACAACTTATATCTCAAGGTGGGCGGCACATTTACGTTGTGGATGTCTATGGGCTCCAGTAACCACTTAACGCCAGGTGGGCTGTGAGCTCGTCCACCCATCTAAGCAATAAAAAAAAAAACAGTTGATTCTCCTTACTTCTACCCTCCATAGGGTATTCCGATTTCGTCCGAAGTCGCCCGAATGTGAATTGAAATGCCAATTTTGCACGCTACAAGTCTAATGAAAATCTATGAACAATTTATACAAACAAAATACATCGTTTTGACAACAAACATATCATTCTTTTTGATTGACAAAATAAATAATCAACAAATCAATTAGGTCATGACGTTTAACCTCAAAAAATTTTAAGTGTAATTTTACGCAAAATTTCCAAATTTTAATCGTGTTTATTTTCAATACCTATATCAATCATCTCATCGATATGTCCACGAGGAATAATGCGAAGACGGAAAAGTCGAATGAGAGCGGGGACACTAAAAAGATCATAGATAAATACAATAGAGATGACCCAGTGCAGACGAAGTATTTGCCGGATCGGGGCGATTCATCCGGTAATTTTTTCATGTCAGAACACGAACTTTTCTAACAGATTCGAAAGGCGGTCGTTAAAATATTCAATTGAGATAAATGTCCTTTAAGGAAATGCCTGTTGAATCTTCATTCTTCGTTTTGAGGGGTGAAAGGATGTTTGGTTCTTATTTTATTTATTTTTATTGCTTAGATAGGTCGACGAGCTCACAGTCCACCAGATGTTAGCGGGTACCGTCGCCCATGGACTTCAGCAATGCCAGGGGCAGAGCCAAGCCGCTGCCTACCCTAAATGTCGCGAGTTCTTAGTTACGCTGTCAAGGTATAATGTTAATTTAAAAAAATTATAAAATACATAGGCTAAATTGTTTCTAACTATCCACGTTTTAACACAAGGCAAAGCCAAGTCGATGCCCACCACTGAGTGAACTGCAATCGGCAAGCCTGGGTGCTTAGTGTGAGATTTTAACGTTGTCGATAGCGTAAAAGTTAACTCAAATTTATATGGAGTTGGAACGTTTGCCTACGTTTGCCGCTAGTTCCGACTGCATACTAATTTGAGTTAACTTTTACGTTATCGAGAACGTTAAAAAATCGCACTAATCACACAGCTGGGGAAATCTATGTATTTAATACTATAACGCTGATAATATTTCAGATAAAAGAGAGAAGTCGAGAATTTTAGATCTAGCCGAGAGGAAGCGCATTAGGGAGAGGTATACCATCAGATTAAAAGCTGCAGACCAGAACGTCAATACTAGTGTTGGATCTAAGACAATATCGACCTGCGAAGGTAAACGCTCCACACGATGATGCCTTCACTTTTTTTTTTTTTTAATATCCAGTGACCCCGGGATACCTAAACACACAGCCGGTTCAATTAAAATTCATGTTAATGTTAGAGAAAAATTGTAAAATATACATAATTTTTAACGATTTAAATAATATGACTGCCGGTAATTAGTGCTGTGTGATTGCGGTCAAAACGCAATTTTAGATAGGTACGAGAGTTGTCTTTTAAATTTTACTGGTGGTAGGACCTCTTGTGAGTCCGCACGGGTAGATACCACCGACCTGCCTATTTCTGTCGTGAAGCAGTAATGCGTTTCGGTTTGAAGGGCGGGGCAGCCGTTGTAACTATACTGTGAGACCTTAGAACTTATATCGCAAGGTGGGTGGCGCATTTACGTTGTAGATGTCAATGGGCGCCAGTAACCGCTTAACAACTAGGTGGGCTGTGAGCTCGTTCACCCATCTAAGCAATAAAAATAAATAAAAACAATAATTAAATTGAAAAAGAAAACACAGTGTGCTTTAGATCACACGACTGAAGTAAAACTTCTTTATCTCTATCTACATGTATATAATATATCGTGTATTATTAAATGTACCTACATGTATATAATATATACATGTAGGTACATATATTAATTTTCTACAAATATTTAAATTTATTATGAGTTTTCATTGTTTCAAACTAATATTTTATGAAATTGAATAAATTGAATTTAAGATGGGGAGAGAAAGAAAATGTGTGTCACTCACACTCCTCTTATTTAGCTTCATTAGCTTATATCTCCCTCTCAACTTCCGTTCGCCTCGCCCGATCACACTTTTCGTAACGCTCTCGTCACGCATTCACGAGCTTACTCCCGTTGACTGTGCGTAAAGAAGTTTAACTTCGAAATATTATTGCGACAATTCTGTTATTTGTTCTTTTTTTTTGTAGATACTACGAAAGACAAAAGCCAAACGCCGAGTAAAATCGATACGGAATCGATTTCAGCGAAGGGACTTTGCGAAAACGATGAATCGATAAAAAAAGGGAGATCCGTTAAAGTGCCAATAACGAGCACGCTTATATCGGACAACGACCGAACTAGAATATACAAAGTGGTCAGGTTCATCAATCGGAAACCGCAAAAGGGCAGTATCCAGATCGATTTGACGTCACGGGCGAAGAAGACGTCTAAGTACACGGAGACCGAGCGGCGGGAAGCGAAACGACCGCCCGAGATTGCGTCAGGCGTCGATAAAAAGCCGGATATAAAGAACAGTGGCAGCCGGAGACGGTTTAGGCGGAAGCAGGTCGCGTCGCCGGCGTCTTTGAGGAAGGCAAGCTTCTCACCGCCCACGGAGGTGGCGAAATGGGCGCCAACTTGCCTCAATCGCGAAACAAAACCGTATTACGAAGCTTGGGTGAACACGAAACTGGCGGCCGTGTCGAGAGGTTGCGATTTGAACGATAGAGAAAGGACCAGGTTAATGGAGACGTTTAGAAAGGCATTGGAATGCAGAATCGATAGCCCGGAATTGGTTTATGAAGATTTAACGGACGAGAAATTCACGGGACGAATTAGAATTAAATGTAAATAGGATATTTCGGAATTGCCATTTAAGTATTTTTTTTTTTTTTTATTGCTTGGATAGGTGGACGAGCTCACAGCACACCTGGTGTTAAGTGGTCACTGGAGCCCATAGACATCTATGACGCAAAAGTGCCAACCAACTTGAGATATAAATTCTAAGGTCTCAGTATAGTTACAACGGCTGCCCCGCCCTTCAAACCGAAACGCATTACTGCTTCACGGCAGAAATAGGCAGGGTGGTGGTACCTACCCGCGCGGACTCGCAAGAGGTCCTACCACCAGTCTACATTGTGGTCTTCGTCTATTTCTCTTTTTATGTCTTAAACTTAAATCTTCTGTCAGTTTTTCGGTCAATTTTTCTTTTTTTTTAATACTATTAAATGCTCTCGATAGTGATAATAAAAAAAAAGCGATATTAAATTGCTAAAAGTAGTTTTAATTTTTATTCGTAAAGATACTGTAGTAATTATGTCGATTTCCCTCTGCGATATTCTTACTAAGGCACCGGAATATCTAGTTAGTTAGTTAGTTGTTGTTAGTTAGTTGACTGTGGGAGAGACGAATCCGTACGTTAGGGAATGTACCCATACTACGTGACCAATTTTTTTAGTTTTTTCGACCTCTCCCTCCCCTCGGTGATCACTCGTAGTATATGCCAAGACCCCCCCTCTCCCCCTTTAGTTTTCACGTAGTAATTCATAATTATGATTTTGGAACGAAGTTCCTTATCGCGCCTTGTGAAAGGGGGCTAGACGGAAAAAATTCTTACAAAAAGTTGTCACGACACTTTTTAGATCCGTCATTCTGACCAATCAACGTGTAGGCGCTTATCGCGTGACATTGCTCGTATCCGATTGGTCCGCGTAATGAGTACAGTTTCTCGAGATAGCGTTTCAACAATAGTAATTTAGTTCATAGTATTGTTTTTTTCTTCTTCATAATGCCGTAATTTATTATTATAACTTAAAAAAAAAATTANATTGGTCCGCGTAATGAGTACAGTTTCTCGAGATAGCGTTTCAACAATAGTAATTTAGTTCATAGTATTGTTTTTTTCTTCTTCATAATGCCGTAATTTATTATTATAACTTAAAAAAAAATTTACAATTCCTTCACTAATTAATCGAAAGGAACTTCGTTCCATCCGGGTGTCCCTTGACACCTCTGAAGTTTTTTTAATCATTTGGTTTTGGTTCATACTCATCTTTATTGCATAAGACAGCGTGCACACTTAAATGACTAGTGAATTATGTAGTGTGAGTTTACAAAGCGCTAAACACTGCGCGCTATATTCGAATATAGGTCGAAAAAATACGAGATTTCTCTCTCTAAAATTGACTACGTGACAAAAACCTGAGCCACCCCCCCCCCCCGCTCCTGTGACTGACCGTAGTATTTTAAAGAGTCCGCTCCCCCTCTAAACGGGTCACGTAGTATGGGTACGTTCCCTTACTGAGAATGAATCTATTTCTCTTCTTCTTAGTCGTGTACTTCATTGCTGAAGGTCGTGTCCCTGAAAGCCCTTCGTGGTTCTTTGTACCACATCCATTTCCTTCGGGTTTCGGCTTCTCTCAGGGCGGTCGCAATAGAGAGTCCAGTGAGCGCAGCTATCTCATCTGACTAACGGCTTGGTGGCCGGCCGGCGGGTCTTTTCCCTTTTACCTTGACCACCACAGTCAATTTTCCAAGGTTGTCTGGTGGCCGCCGAGCAATGTGACCAAAGTAACCAAGAATCTATGTCTAAGAGACCTAAAACCCTAAAACATACCTACATTAACAAACAAAAGAAAACGACATGGTTACTTACCCGGCAGTCAAAGGGTTAACTTGCTTGATGTCTATAAGCTCTGGCAACTATTTAATACAAGACGGACAGCTTTGTTCAGCCCATAGACACAATCTACTGAGTTTCTCGCCGGATCTTCTCAGCGGGTCGCGAACCCGATCTGATAATAGAAGCATTCGCGAAGTAGCTCTGCCCTTAAGCTGTTAGGTCTCCTTCGGAGGCGCTCTGACGTCCGTGCTCTCCCACCCAACTTGCTGAAACTGGAAAGGTCTCCGGGCCACCAGTAATCCTCCTATCCTAAAGAAAACGTTCAGATGTCTATGGATTCCGGCAACCACATCATGGATGGGCCGTGACATATTATGCTGGTAGGGCATCTTGTGAGTCCGCACGGGTAGGTACCACCGCCCTGCCTATTTCTGCCGTGAAGCAGTAATGCGTTTCGGTTTGAAGGGTGGGGCAGCCGTTGTAACTATACTGAGACCTTAGAACTTGTGTCTTAATATAGGGGGCGAAATTAACGGTATTTATGTCTATGGACTCCGGTGACCGCTTAACACCAGGCGGGCCGTGAGTTCGTCCGTCAATTTTAACAATAAAAAATATATCGTTCATACCACTCTGCAAAAAATATATATTGATTGTCTGTTTGATGACAGTCAGTAGCGGAACTATTCGAATAACTAGCTCTGACATCACGCGTGAATAGAGATAAATGCGTCACAAGCAACGCTTAAGCCAATCGTGCCTTTCTATCGCTTGATCCGCGGTCTCGCTCGCACACTCAGGTTCGGGCGGAACGTGACACTTTTTCGTGCGTGCAATCAGTGCTCATGGATTTGTAAGACGTTATCATGTCAAGATGTGTGACCAAATAAAACCAAATTAATTCGTTAATTGTTTATTTATTATATACGGTTACATTATATAATTAATATTACGCCGCTAAGAGCAACGCCAACTATCGTCGAATAGCAGAAAAAATATCAAAGGTACTAGTAACATCGAGAAAGCTCGAGAAGTATAACGCCATCTATTGTCAAATGGCGGAAACGCATATCAATAATTCGACTTGTGAGGAATATTCTCAATAAGTCTAGGGTGGTCTTATCGACTATAAAAGCGTTGCAGGGATGTCACGAAGGCAGTTAGTAATCAGAACTTCGAAGCGAAACAGCGAACAGGAAACGGAAGAAACGAATTAAGAATTTTAAGGTGTTCGTTAAGTGTTTTAAATAATAAACCCCAACGCATAACAATACCTTAACGGGTCAAATGACCCATTTTGAACTTTCGCATTGAAAATGCACGTGTCGTCTTATTGATTTGGCACCTTTGACTTCATGACTTTTTCTTACCAATTAATCTACAGTTATTGTACTAATTTTTTTTGTTTTCTTTTGTTTATTTTGAGTAATACTTGTCGTGTACCGTTATCCACCCGCTTTGGTAGAAATTGGTACCAGTAAGTGTAGATATAATTAGTCTTAAGCCTAGGAGCTCAATGCGCCTCATCAAATGTCCAAATAAAGTGTCCTCAAAGAGTTACAATTGCTTACATAGAGCGGCGTAAAATGACGAGTTAAAATTGGCGAAATACTATAAAAATGACACCATCGGTGCCGACGGCTTAGGGCCAGATAAACTTCAATCCAAGCCACGATTTGTAGACTTGAAATTGAATTAAAATGCACCCCAATAATTACAGTGCTCTACGATATTTTTGAATTAATCAAAGTGAAATTTCTGGACAATTCCACTGAAGGATTTGATATCAAAATCAAAGTTTAATTTCGTGAAAAGTCAAATGGTGCAGATAGCGCCCTTAGACACCATGAGACAAAAAAATAATTCAAGGTCAACTGCATGGGAATCTTCCGAAGCACGGCAGCGGACGAAAGCTTTTCATCTGACATCAAAATGGTGATTTTCCTAAGAACCAGTTTCGCCTGTTATGCTGAAACTGTATAGTATTAAGTTTAATAATGTGTCACCATCGATCCATTACCACTTATGGTAATAGATCGATGGTGAGTGTGTCACCATCGAAGTTTGCTGTAAAACTCCACTGAAGGATTCTCTGTAATAGCTCGAATCAATTCAATTAAATTTCATGAAACAAACAGCCCTAAGACCTGAAAAGCTCTGTTCAAGTATAACTTTATCTGAGCCCATAAAATCCCAGAGTAAACAAAGCTTGTAAAACAAAGGACCGCGGGAGCCGTGCTTGAAATTTATTTAATTATTATATTTCAAGTTTTATCCGAAGACAGATCCAAGAACTATAAGATACATGACAAACTCAGATGTCTCATTCAAGTTATCACAACAGGAACTTGTCATGGAACTAGATATGCATGAATATAATCCACATCGCTTCGAGCTATGACGGCCAGCAGCCAAACCATTCGCCCAGTTGAAATTATAGCGTGATTTGAAACATTACTCTAATCTTTATTTGCTGTAAAATTCTACTGAAGGATTCTTTCCGATAACTTGGAGTGGCTCCAAAGAGAACAATATCTTTCCAAGCATAGCTTCGATTGTGACAGCAAAATGTTGGTCAAAGGATTATTTACCAAAACAAAATTTCGTAAAGAACTGCAGAAATGACGTTTCAATTAATTCAAGAATGAGTCAACTCTAATAACTCCGGCGCGTTAAGCATTTGGAGTTAACAACGTGACTCAAAATTTGCTGTAAAACTACGAAGGATTCTTTATGACAGCTTATAATGACCCTATTGGATCATTAAAAATAAATGGCTCTAATTGTAAAATATATCTGGCCAAGCCTAACTTGGATTGACACTTTCAAAGTTTTGGTCAAAAGATTATTTACTAAAAACNAGTTTCTGCTTACGTTTGGGATTTCTTTGAATTCGCGCCTTCACAGCTTTTATCACTGCTGGAGTCCTAACAGACCGAGGGCGACCACTTCTTGACCTGTCATCTACACTAGAGTCTTCATTGTATCGTTTGATGGTACGATAAACGAATATTTTGGTTATATTAAAATTTTTCAGTATGTTAAAAATTTGAATTGGCGTGTAACCGCAACGATGCAACGCAATAACTGCAACACGGTCTTCTTTAAGCGTCCACTCCATATTTAAAAATGAGTAAAATTCTAAAAGTATGTATACATTTTAATTTTCATGAACAATTCGAAATTCGAATTCAATAAACTTTTATGTGGCCAGCATTCTAAAAGAAAAGTTTTTACTGTGTGACAATACTTATGACCTGACTAGGTATATATGTCGGCGCGCGCGTCATGGATGGCTAAGCGGTAGTTTCCGTCATTACTCGTATTTGGTTGAACTCAGTTTATAAAAAGTCAATAAAACCTTTTGAATGATAATTATTGAAACTCAACACACACAACTTTCACAATGACAGGGTAAACCGACAGTTTTGTTCCACATACCGACAGACCGACTGCCAGAGACTCACTGACTGAGACGGACGGACCGTCTGATACGGACTGAATGACTGTCTGACACGGAATGCCACGACTCTTTTTTTTTTCTACCTAAGCTGGTAGCCTGGAGCGGCTATTCCAGCGTAACCGTGGCTAGTAGGTGAGCTCACGGGGCTCAAACTTGACGACGATGCTAACACGAACCCTAGCAAGAGCCGTGCTTCGCAGAATCTACCACCGGATCGGAAACGCGACCCACTGAGAAGATCCGGCGAGAAACTCAGTGTGCTGTGTCTGAGAGTTAATTTACTCGTCGAGCCCTTCGTCGCAAGCGACGGGTTCGACGAGAACGGTGACCGGTGCTTGAAGTACCTAAAAGCACCGTTAGTGGATCGGGAGGATCCGAGATGACGTGTTTTGGGCGACGTCGACTGCTTTCCATTCTGTCGGATCGGAATGTGCCACGACTCTGTCCACGTACCGCCATTTTATATTGTGGCGTTACGGAGTCTACCCTACATTTTGTGATATTTATCAAACAACATTTCATCATTTAAAATAATAGTCAAAACAACGTCTTAATATTACTAAAAGTCGTTAACCACGACATATAATAAATTATACAAGAATTGCTCGTTTAAAGGTATAAGATAAGAAGATAATTTAATTAATTTCGTCCTAAGATTGTTTTATTATGAATCCAAAATGTTATTGAAGATACACGTGAAAATTTAGATAGAAATTTAAATTATCAAGTTTATTATATTATCTATTATTCGTACATATTTTGATGAACATTTCAGATATTACCTCTTCCCTCTTGGGTCTATTCCTGTGCTCTACTCGCTCACTCGCTTGCTCACCACAAGCATGAAGTAATGTGCGAGATGAACACGGCATGTTGTACATTGTAAATAGCATTTAATTTTGTCTCATAATCAAGAACTAAAACTGTGGACAGCTGTCGTTGGTTTCGAGCTGCCCGCGTTAAGTAATCGGCTGTTGATAATTTCAGAGTCTAATGATCTGCTCGACGCTCATGTCGTCCTGGTGCATGGCCGTGCTTGGCAGTCTGCTGCGCTGGTCGTGGGCTTCGGACTGGGCGGTGGCGCTCGTCGTCGTTATTTATTGTTTCAGCTATCAAGTGGGACCAAATAGCCTACCGTTCGTGTTGACATCGGAAACTTTCGGCCCCCAGGTGAATAAAAATATTTTTTGTCGTTATGGGACTTATTGGGCTTCTTCCCTTGTCCATGGCAGACGACTGCTACTTATAATTAAACTTTTCTGAAAGAAAGAAAAATCAGATTACTGTATATTTTACAAAAAATTGACTAGTGTATAAAAATCTGGATTATATTATGTTCACAGGCTAGAGGTGTGGCATCTCAAGTGGTAGTGACATCGATGTTCTTATCAAATTTTCTACTGTTGATACTTTTCGGACCTGTCGAAGATCAGATAGGCTTAGACGGAACATTCTTCCTCTTTTCCATCATTGGATTTGTCACAGCGATATTTACATATTTCACAATGAAGGAAACCAAAGGGATACCGTTGGACGAAATTCAAAAAATGTATGAGAAAGGATTTTTGTATCGTGAAAAATAAAGTATTTGACTAATACGGATGTCACATAATTTTTATACCAAATCGTGGGCGACAATAAGTTGATGCAGGTACAATCAGGAACCTTTGGCACGCGATTAATCTTGCAGTGGCCTTAAACACCTGCTTTTAGTTACTAACATCACGATAACTGTTTGCTCGTTTCTAAGGCTGTGTCTAATGTCTTAAATTCATTAAATAGCCTTCATTAAGCAACTCTATACTTATTAGTTAGTTATCGTTTTCAGTTTGAACTTACAGCTGTGTATCCACGAGGAAACGAATTTGGGACATTTAGCGGCCAGGGGCGCATCTAGGTTCGTTGACAGCAAAATTTCCGGAGATGTAATCAACGTCCATAGTTAAAATCCACAGTCCCACTTAACATTTGTAATCTAACTGAATCTGAGCCACCGAGCCGGCTGTTATCAGCGACACAACCACCGGGGTCCTCGATCGGTGGGCTATCTGAGGTCTGATGCCGCAATATGTAATTCCCGGGATTGATGAACCGGAGCCGCCAATACCAAGAGTTTTTTTTTTACTTGATGGGTGAATGAGCTCTCAGCCCACCTAGTGTCAAGTGGTTACCGGAGCCTATAGGCATCTACAACGTAAATGCCGCCATCCACCTTAAGACAAAGCCTCGCAAATTATAATTTTGCGGGTTTGATTTTTTATTACACCATAATGTTCTTTTACCTTGAAAGTAAATCCTGAATATTTGTTAAGTACGTATTTTATTAGAAAATTCAATATTTGAAAAACAGTACAGTAGCATCGCTTGATACGAATGCACTGGGCTTCTTATTCTTTATGTGTGGATTGGATGTGGATCGGATGAATTCATTAGGTATAGGGCTTCGACGGCGACTTTTCACTCGAATACGACCTGCTTTAATGCGCTCAGAAATGCGTTGCACGAATTTTTGGAGTGGAATCTAAACTGCTCGTCGATTACAGTACTCTATGAGGAAACAAAATCTCAGAGGGCTTTATAGAGCAGATGTTTGTATGATTTGCCCAAATTAACAAGTCCTTAGTCATATTTTTTTTATAAAATACGCGATATGGTTGCTTTGTTTTGATTTAGATGATTTAGATAATTTAAGAAATGTTTACGCAATTAGCTCAAACCACCCCAAAGTTGCGTAAATAAAAGTACATTAACTCCCTTCATCTAATTTATATTATATTTATTTCATACCACGGCCCATTTCACTTCCTTTCCATCATTCTATTTCACTTTTTTTTAAAGACATCGCATCCGCCTATTCTATAGAATATCGGAACTATGGGATGTATTCCGTTTACATGTACAATGGAAGAATCAAGAAAAAAATCTGACAGCTGACATTAAATACAAGCTATCAACAAACATTTCAAATAATTTCAAAAGTAGGTGTAGGTATTTTCAATCAGAAACTGGCTTCTTTTAAAGAATAGGAAATGAATATGATGCATAGATTGATTTATGAGTAATGAATAACCAACTACTATTAATATAAACATTTTGCTATAAGTTTATTGCAAATTTTAAATATAAACTTAAAAAATGGGGCTTTTGTCAGACCCAGAGTACGGTTCGGTAAAATGGGTGAGGATTCTAAAGAAGGTTCACAGGCCGCTTTGCTTCCTTTGTTATGCTGTGGCCCTAGTATGGTTCGTGATGTTGGCTAACAGAGACTTTAATAATGAGACTTACTTTTCTGAAAATGCTCTGCTTCCTGGGCTCGTTACCAACGAGTTCAACGGCGAGTATGCTGCAAAGCAGTATTTGACTGAATTCGAGCAGGAACTGGAGGTGAGTGGCTAGTAAGATAAATAAGAAATTAAATAAAACATGGAAACCTTTCGGATTGTAATCCTACAAATAAGTTAGGCAGGCAAGGTTATTTTTTACCATCAGCTGTGAGGTCCATGTGAAGTACCAATTTTTCTTTTTAAACTAACCTAACTTCTACATAGTTTGTTTACTAATAAAGAATATTAAATGTCACTACTAACAAACAGATGAACAGGCTTAAGTGTAAACAAAAAACAATCAAGTACATTAAAATTTTTATACATTATACTTACAATGACTATTTGTTACTGTTCTTGGCAGGACAGTACTGTTTTTAAGTGCCGTCATTTTTTCAAGCATAAATATCCTGTTTTTTGTTTATTTGTACAGTTTTACAATGAAATTAAAGATATACTCAAATTAATTTTTGAATGTAAAAATATAGTATAAATGCATAATATAATATAATAAATAAGTTAGCAAATAATGACTATTAGATTAGATTTGTTTTTTCTGTGTACATTAACTTTGGATGAACCTTTAACATAAAACACAACCTGCTTTTCTAATTGAGTCAACTAGTATAAACATCAATTGCTAAACATCATGTAAAACTAATTACTAAACTAACTTATACTATAAAAACATATCATAAAACACATCATGTTCAACATTAACAGATAGGTACAGGTCACAGTTTCGGCTGAGTATAGTCCAGATTAAATGGTCATGGTTTTGTAATAATTGCTCGCGTGTTAATATATATAATATTTTTAATAGGTTTTTTATTGCTCCTAGTCCTGTTGTTTGATACAAAAATAAGGTTCACCGTAATTATATTGGAACTAATAGTAACTTATTTGATAATGGAACAGTCAGTTTTATAAATAAAGTTCTGTAGTGTCACCCTCAGGATTAAAATGTCCATGACCTAAAATAAGATGCCGTTACCACTTATACCAAACAGTAGTTATCTAACATGAATGGATTGATGAGTTACCACTCCCTATAATAGAGGAAACTTATATTTGTTGCATACGGAATTTTCTTTTTTGCATTGAGTTCTGAACTTGTTGAAGTTTATTATGTGTACTACCAACTATGTCTATTATGTTTTCAACAGTATGTTTTCATAAAGTAAAGAAAGCAACTAATAAATAATGTTATGAATTGCAGGAAAAGTATTATGACACAGAGAAGATACCAGTCCCGTGGCTGGTGGCCAAGATGTCTCAGCTTCACCTAGAGGTTTACACACACAACTATACACTAAACTACCCATTAGGACAAGGTCAGGTAATTATTGGGAATTAGTTTACATTGGTCCGGTAAGCACCATATCATTTAATAATGGCAATAGGTTGCAAACACCACTATCATGCTTGTTCACAGTCAGTAGTTACATCTATCACCCTTTAAGGTCTCATATTGGAACATTAAAGATATCTATTATTTAACTTTTCCAATAAAATTGTAATTTTAAAGTTAATGTATTGTAAATTAACATTAAAATTAATATGTATCTATATAGACTCCTTGATGCAAAATAATGTCAAATCTTATACTTCTGTAGAGATATTTTAAAGGTAGGCAGCGGCTTGACTCTGCCCCTGGCATTGCTGAAGTCCATGGGTGACGGTAACCACTCACCATCAGGTGGACCGTATGCTCGTCTGACTACAAGGGCAATAAAAAAAGATATTATGTAACTACAGGAAAGTGTGCAAATAAAGTAAGTGAAAATGGTTAAAGCTGTTAAATGCAATGTCTTTGATTTATTTCTAAAAAAATACCTTTCAGATTTACAAAGGCACAAATGTGTATGGCATCCTTAGAGCTGCTCGTACTCCTTCCTTGGAAGCTCTAGTAGTTTCTGCTCCATTCAGACCCCTGTCTTCACATCAGAAGAGCACAGCAGCTGGAATTGCATTGATGTTGGCTTTTGCAGAGTTTGCTAGACGTTAGTATGATTATTTTACTTTTAAACAGATGCATAATTACTGTAACTTTTCTCAGTTTATCCGTAATTAGATTTGATAGGAAGCTGTTTCATCATTTTTTAGTTAGATAGGTAACATATATTACCAGTACTATGTTTCTGTTTGTGCTGCCTTGTCGAATACTCCACTACCACATCACTAGTTTCAGCTTAGTCCACATACTGGCTTTTAAGTAGTTGTTTATTTATTTTATGTTATAATGTTTCTAGCACAAAAATATTGGGCCAAAGATATAATCTTCCTTGTAACGGAACATGAGCAACTAGGAATGCAGGCATGGCTAGAAGCTTATCATGGTCTGCAAAGTGACTCTGAAACATTTTACACTACTCTCGGCAGTTTTTGGAAGCCTGGTAGTTTTGGTCTTGACCTGACTAATTTTTTCCCTGGATTTGACTGGCTTGGGAGTCACAAGAAGTGTCTCAACCCTGGACAGTTGAAAGCCAGGTCTGGAGCAATTCAAGCAGCTATTAATTTGGAGTTCCATTCTCCAAAGATAAGTGAGTACCATTTTTACTATATTTTCTACCAGCATGTTGCTCTCCGCTGTGGCTTGATCTAGTATCTAAACATGTGGATAATTTTAAATACATATAAAATAATTACTTGTGCTACCCATAATAAGTTGTGGGTACTGTGAGAATAACCCAATATGTCAATAACGATTACAAAGTTTCAAGTCAAACTTAATGACAACCAAAATCATAGAACTGAATGTTGTCATTAGACAATAGTATCCTTCAGTATGGCTTTGGACCTACTTTTAAACTTTTTACTTTTACATTACATTTTAAAGCTTTAATGAACTTATGTGCTCCGACACAAGCTGGTTAACACACACTATGTCACCAGTAACACACACATGTATGATATGACTTTAAATTATATAACGTGTCCTCTTTTTATTAAAGTAATCTTCTTACAAAATTGAAGTTATTACAAAAATAATCAATTTGATCTGATATTTTAATGATTTTAAAACAGAATAAAATACTAATTCTCAAAAATAAATAATGAAATTATTGTTTTACTTGATTTATTAATATACATAAAATTCATTTTTGAATTCTTCTTACCAGGAAAGTTAAATGATCCATTAACATACAACGCTATGATGACTGGAAAATACTTACATTATTTGCAGAATATGTTGAAGTCAAAGTGGAAGGTTTGAATGGACAACTACCAAACTTGGACCTGGTCAACTTGGTGCACAAGCTGTGTGTGAAGTCTGGTATACACCACTCTTACAAGAACAGGTTCGTGCCACGCAGCGACTGACCGAGCATTATAAATACACACACACACACAACAGAGACAACCTCTTCACTAAAAGTTCAACAACTTCAGTAAAAGTCAAATCTAAATATTAACCCAAACCTATTTGACACGTAATAATCAAATTAATAAAATCTAAAAACAGTATTGTTTCATAAACAATAACACGTTTTCTGAATCAACCTGAGTGCGACTTGAACCCGCGACCTCTGCTCGGCTCGGCTCATCTGTCCTCTCATGTTTCAGCTACTCCTGGGTCCGCAACCGAAATAAAGTGGACGACTGGGTGAACAACATCTGGACCATGGTGGGGATGGTCAGCACGCAACTGGCCGGGGTATGTACCGCGCCGCCCCCACGGGCCGTCTGTGTCTGCAGTTCGATCCAGTGCCGTCTCAGTCTGACTCTTCAATTGACCCCGAGCTAGACTGCCAACGCTTCATGCTGCACAGCTTAGTAGATTTGGAAAGTCAAGGACCGTGTCGCTTCTCAGGTCCCCAACGGTAACCACGGGCTGTTCCACCGGTTCGGCATAGAGGCCGTGACCCTGGAGGGCCGGGACTCCTCGGACGGGCCGGCGCCGCGCGTGCACTCGCTCTCCGCCGCCAACTTCCACCGCCTCGGCCTCGCGCTCGAGACCGTCCTCCGCTCCCTCAACAACTTGCTGGAGGCCTTCCACCAGAGCTACTTCTTCTACATGCTGCCCGCCACCGATCGGTTTGTGTCCATCGGTAAGAATTAACCGCTCTAGTTATATTCGAATTCTTCAATTCGCGACATTATTCTATGCCCGGTTGCTTGTTTGTGCTTGTGTGTGCAGGACAGTACATGCCCAGCCTGTGCCTGATGTGCGCGGCCATGCTGCTCCGCGCGCTGGCGCTGTGGGTGGGCGTCCAGCCGACACAGGAACGCAGCAGTCAAGCTGAAGACCCCGTAGACACGGAGGCCAAAGAACCAGGAGAGCGACCGCCTGAACGACTATCAGAAAGCTCGAACCAGCGAGTGCACAACAGGAAGACGATCAAAGAAAAACATAGTGATTCTGAATCTGAGATACCAGGAGAACAGGATGTTAAAGAAGTAGTACAGAGCTCAGACGAAAGGGTCGCGAACAGCCAAACCCAACTAAACTTCAGCATGGTCAATGTCGGTGCCAACTATCTGTTGGTGCACGTGCTGGGGTACGCCGCCATGAACTCGCCCGTCCTCTTCACGCAGCTCGGTGAGTGTCCCGCGCCTCACACTGCGATACTAACAGAAGCAAAGAGATCTAAAGTGAAAATCACAAAAACTCATCAAAATTTTTGCTAATGAATCCGGGGGTAATTAAAAAAATATATTGCGAATACTACATACTTCTCCGAACAGAAATAGGATTGGTATATTGAGATCGGACTCAAATACATGACCGACTTCCATGCAGTTTGATATAGTCAAGTCCGTGTTTCATTTTTCAGGCGCCAAATACTTTAGTCTGCCCTCCGAGGTGTCGGTGTACTACGGCCTGTGCGTGACCTCCGCCGTGCTGGTGGTGGCCGCGCCCGTCCTGCCGCGCCTGCTCCGCCGCGGTGCCCTCACGTACGAGGAGCTGACGCTGGTCAACATCCTGGTGCTGATCGAGCTGTCGACGCTGTGCCTCGCGCTGGGCATGCACAACTTCCCGCTGGGGCTGGCGGTCGCGGCCCTCTACACGCCGGTCGCCCTGCTGTCGGGAGTTGTAGTCCGAGGACGGGGCTGGATAAGGTAGGACGGCAGTGGCAGGTTCTGGTCGCCCTGCAAACATCACAATCTGAATGCCGCTGTCACCTTGATTCGCGAGATCTAATCTCGGTTCTGTAATGTAATGGACGTCCGCAGCGTGTGGCTGCAGCGTGCCGCGTGCGTCGTGCTGCAGCCCCTGGGCGCCCTGACCGCCGCCATGTGCGTGTACAGCGTCGCCGTGTACGGGGGGGCCGAGGGGGCCGCAGCCGCCGCGGGGAGGGGCCGGGACGCCGCCATGCAGGCCGTCATGTTCGCCGTGGCAGACTCCCTGGTAACTCGCGTTGTTAATGTTGTTGATTCCACGCCGGTCGTACTCGCCAGCGCTCCGCTCNCCGTGCTGCAGCCCCTGGGCGCCCTGACCGCCGCCATGTGCGTGTACAGCGTCGCCGTGTACGGGGGGGCCGAGGGGGCCGCAGCCGCCGCGGGGAGGGGCCGGGACGCCGCCATGCAGGCCGTCATGTTCGCCGTGGCAGACTCCCTGGTAACTCGCGTTGTTAATGTTGTTGATTCCACGCCGGTCGTACTCGCCAGCGCTCCGCTCGGTTCAATAGGCAATGTAGCGACTTCGACAGGTGTGCGTGCGTGCATGTGTGCGTAGTGCGTGCGTGTGTGCGTAGTGCGTGCGTGCATGTGTGCGTAGTGCGTGCGTGTGTGCGTGCGTGCATGTGTGCGTGCGTGCGTGTACTGTACAGTAGTACAGCGGCGACACGTTGCAGATCTACGGCAACTGGGTGTTCAACGTGGCGGCGTCGGTGCTGCTGCCGGTGTGGGTGGTGCTCTGGCAGATCGTCTGCAACAGCGTGGAGGGGCCTTCCCCCGCGCGCCGCTGACCTCAAGATGCTAACGACAAGGAGTCTTGAAATGGCGAACATTACAATTGTTTTAATTAATTTTAAAGACTGTTTTAAAAATAAAAATATTTAATTAATATTCTTTTATTAAAAAAAGAAGTATTAGAAAGGAAATATTAACTGTGGGCCCCCGCACCTACTGTAATGTAATTTTTGTAATGAAGAACTAAGCGAGTTTCGAAATAATACATTTTGACGATTGTGATGGGAATTTGGAGGGATGAGTGCTTTCCCATAACACTAACCCTGCCATAGCATCAGTGTGACGGAATGTAAACCAGTGATGTTATTATATGCTCTTTGTCTAGCGTCTGTCTTTGTCTAATATTATACGTGTCTTTAATCCTCTTTTTTATTTATTTTCTGGGCCGATGAGCCGAACCTCACGGGGGCGCGTTGGGTTCGCGGGACTAGACAGCCGCAGATCTGGGGAGAAGGTCGCGGGCCTGAGGATGGTATTTAGGGCTCTACTCACTAAACGACTCCTCCGATCAAATAAATCTGTTTGACATCTGTCCCCAAATGACGTCATCAATAGCTTTGCTGAATGAGATACATTAGCTAATATGTTAATAGACTCTGTGTATGAATCAAATGTCAGTTTTGCTGTGAGCTTATTGGTAACCTTCAAACATTTACCTCATTTCAACTTAAACTAAGGTAGTCATGACTTGAACACTTATAATACAACACAATCTATACCAGTACAAACGTGTTTTCAGAGAAATTATACTTACAATTATAGAAGAATGAGAGTGAAAAGGCTCACCCCGGCGAAAGTTATACGGCTGGAGTTCCGCAAGGCTCTGTCCTCTCGCCCCTCCTATTTAGTTTATTCGTCAACGATATTCCCCTGTCGCCGCCGACCCAGTTAGCTATATTCGCTGACGACACGTTTGGTTACTATTCGAGTAGAAACAAGTCCCTAATCGCGAGGAAACTTCAGAGCGCAGCCATAGCCCTACACGGACAGTGGTTCCGAAAATGGCGCATAGACATCAACCTAGCGAAAAGCACAGCGGTGCTATTTCAAAGGGGAAACTCCACACGGATTTCCCGGATTAGGAGGAGGAATCTCACACCCCCGATTACCCTCTTTAGCCAACCTATACCCTGGGCTAGGAAGGTCAAGTACATGGGAGTCACTCTGGATGCATCCATGACATTCCGCCCGCACATAAAATTAGTTCGCGACCGTGCCGCGTTTATTCTTGGCAGACTATCCCATTATCTGTAAGCGGAGTAAAATGTCCCTTCGGAACAAGGTGACACTTTACAAAACTTGCATAAGGCCCGTCATGACTTACGCGAGTGTGGTGTTCGCTTACGCGGCCCGCACACATATAGACACACTCCAATCCCTACAATCCCGCTTTTGCAGGCTAGCCGTCGGAGCTCCGTGGTTCTTGAGGAACGTTGGCTTACACGACGACCTGGGCTCTGAATCAATATGGAAATACATGGAGTCAGCGTCGGAACGGTACTTTGATAAGGCTATGCGTCATGATAATCGCCTTATCGTTGCCGCCGCAACTACTCCCCGAATCCTGATCATGCAGGAGCCAGTCACCGTCGACGCCCCAGACACTTCCTTACGTATCTATCTCATCCAATCAATAACCTTTGCATTAGACGCCTTCAACTCTAACACTAGGAGCAGTCTTAGGGACCTCGGTAACCGTACTCGTCGAACTCGACAAAGAGGTCGACGTGCAACCTAACCCATGCATCAGCTCGCTGGGTTTCTCGCCGGATCTTCTCAGCGGGCTGCGATTACGATTCGGTAGTAGATTCATTCGCGAAGCAGCTGCTCTTGAGTTGTTAGGTCTCCTTCGGAGGCGCTCGGGCTGCTGTTAGCAAATCCCACTCCTCCTGGCTGAGCCTTTGCTCGCCCACCTGTCCTGGTGAAACTGTAAAGGCTTCCAGTAAACCTTCAATCCTAAAAAAAAAGAGTGAAAGGAAAACCACGTTACAGTTTAAAATTTTTTAGGCAACGGCATCTCATTTCTATGCCGCTGTTGATGTCATTGAATAGAAAAGTGACGACATTTTCAATTAATTATTGAAACATAAGTAAATAATAATAATAAAAAAGATATTTTTCTTTTTTTTTATATTCATAGCAATTTTTTTTTAGTTAATTAATTTAGAAGATTATGAAAATCAGCCAACGCGATCTCGAACCTAATCTGTCTGAGCACACAGGTAGTTGATACGAAATAATCCGTTCCATAAAAACGTAATGTTTATTGAGGATCTTATTTCAAGTACCTAAGTACAAGAGTTGTTCTAAGCTATAGCTGTGCTGCGGGCGCTGTGGCCCCCGGGCCGAGGGCGGAGCTGTCCAGACATGACGTTGAGCTCATCCTACTCGTATCTGCACTTTGGAACTATTTTATTGCGTCGTGTAAAAGTGTTAATTGTTTTACTATGCAAATAATAGCAATGATATAATTTTTGTTATCAAAAACTACATATAATTTTATCGTTTATCTTATTAATTGAGATAACTTTATATTACTTTATATGAGGTGTTGATGACGATGGTGAAGAAGAAACCGCGCATGACAGTTAATTTTAATAGTTTTATTTAATTACTTGTAAAATACATTATATTAATAAAAGTAAATAACGTTATTTGAACACACGCACACAACGTTCATTGGTCCAATAACAACATTAACAACGATTTGTTGTAAACCTTAAAATTCAGTTTTTACATCCTCTTATGCATTTATATATTTTTTTATTTTTTGTCGTGTTGTGTTGTGAAAATGTCCTTATTACATAAAATTAATCTAAATCTTGAGGTGCTAATGAACGACCACTCCAAATCGAATTCCAAAAACTAGTTTAATTAAACAATTACGACTTAGATTATTTTTATGTATAATATTTTCTCTTTATTTTTGTTATTGACGATTGAAGAAAAAGCTATCTCCAATAAAAATAGTTGTTACCCTAAAGCACGTTTTTTTTAAGGGATTATATGTCCTGGTAACTGAGACCTTATTTTAATTTATATTCTTATTTTTATGTAAAATGATAACATGAAATGAAATGAGATGAGATGATATGGGATGAATATAATCTTAGCAAAACAGTGGTCATTTACTGAGACTTTTTCAGTGAACTTTTTGTAGGATCCCGAGAAGTTACGTCCAGCGGCTTTGTTTTATTTTCCCACATATGTGCACTTTCACAGATACTAAATAGTTAATAAACCACCGTTATTACACATTTAAACCTGACGAAACACTAAATAGACAAAAAGAACAAATCACACAACTTCACTCCTCGCGTTCCCGCCAAAAAGTCCCCTAAAGCACGTAAAAACTATAAAAACAAAAGTCAGTTGACATACAGAGGAGGAAATAGGACTTTAACTGTTACTTCACACAGTTCAGCAGTACATAATATTGTTTAAGTTAAATTAATTTTGGACTCATTCAAAAATATACATGCGGATGATGATTATATAGTTCTTGGATAATGCTTTGTTGTGGTCGCTAATATGTGGCTTAGTGTTGTTGCACTGGATGTCAAGTTGTGACCATCAGTTAATAGCTTAAGTGATGTATTATAGTTTATAGATATTGCGTTTCGGAGTCGAGGGAACTCACTGTTTGCAACGACAAATCTCGGCTAGAGTTCCGCAAGGCTACGCTCCCTCCCGGCTAATGTTGTCTTTACATTAACGATAAACACTGGTTCGCGATCAGGTGGTAGATTCTGCGAAGCACTGCTCTTGCTAGCAAATTCTCTCAATCGAGCCCGTGAGTTCACCTGCCTATAATATTTTTAATAAAAAGTTATAATAAAAAATATTACAATGGTACTCCATTGTAATAATTTTATTGCCGATTCTCCGACTAATTCTTCAGTTGCGTATTCGTACCATTGCGAGGGACACGCTACTGCAGGACGACAATGTCATACCTCCGCTTAGTGAGTCCTGTCGGTGGACGGCTGTACTGGATGCCGCCGCCGCGCCGGCACCGACACGCGTCCCACTAAACGAATTCATTTGTGATTTTTACAATGCTCTTGTTCGCACTTTTTTTAATAACTTTATTTAAATGAACACTTGGGATTCATTCTACAAATTAAATAATTAAGTTGTAACCCCGTAATGTGTGCTCAGAGTAAGGCTATGACTAAAATTACGCAAGAGATAAAACCGAATTAGAAGGCTTTGCGTGTTGTATACTACGTATTATGAGACTGCGCGACTTTACTAATGTAAATATGATGGCTGTATTTATAATCTAATATAGGAAATGCTATATACCTACTATAAGCTATAAGCTGTATGTAGAAATTGACAGACCTAATACGCATGTTTCCCTGGCTCACAGAGACCCTGCTTTGTAAATTGATTGAATCTAGCTTCACGTACGAGGTCGTAGTATTAACGGTCCTTTCGCCGTTTAGATCACCGACCCATGTCCTACTAGCAGTACCTACTCCACATCAAAATAAAAGGTGCAGTACAAGAAGTTGGATGAGACACCAGCGTCCACCGCGGACGGGTTTTTGGAGGGAAGTATTACTCTTGAATTCTGTGGAATCTTCAGACTGTTATCATATAAGGCGCTCGTTCTATATGCGTGCTATCAATGTCATTCTGGACTGCAATCATCGGGAGTGATATGGAAGAGAAATCCCACAAACTTCGAATATAAAACATTATCAGAATTACTATTATTTCGTAATAAATCATCCCGCCCTAGTCGCATCCCCCGACCGCACACCGTAATTAGGTTTACATTACAATGTAATGTAATGTCAGAATCACATGTAACAAGTTCACGTGTGATTCTGAAAATATAATCATGACATTTCGTTTCCACTAACATACAAAATAACAAGCTCAGGACGAAACAACGCCGTGACACAGTGGACGAACTGCACTTAAAGTTACTATCCCGGGGATTTAGGTAGAGACACAATGCGTGAAAAATTCTAATGTTCAGCTACACGCGGGCATGTAAATACAACGACATTGTTATTTCATAGAATAATTGTCCTCCCGCGAGCATACGGAGTGTTTACAAACAATAAAAATTACATCTAGATGGTAGGTACATAAGTGCGACGCCGGCATTCTAATCCTTACGTAAGAATACGCCTACGACATTTATATTTGCCTGGTTTTATATCATTATTACCCCTCAGATAATGAGCAGTTATTTTCTTTGACGTTAGTTTAATTAGTTCGACACATCCATCGCCTTCAGTGTTACTTTTGAAAAACAACAATATCTAGTCGAGTCGGGTCGAGTCGAGCATCGTTCGTTTCACAGTGGGCTGGCTATAATGGGTGTTTGGGTCCAGGCGGGCAGCACGGCGTTGAGTAAGTGTCACTTCAAGTCCGTGTGTCCATCTTATATATTGTGAGTTAGTGTTCGTTTTAGTGTTTTATCCCTGTCGAACGTTTGTGAATTACAGTCATCTTATAACTTCGAAGTTAGAAAAACTGGAGCGCGTCAGATTAAAGCATATTGAGTTGATTACATGCTGAAAATTATGAATTTCAATAATGTAACGATTTGTGTGTGACGTAATCAAATAAGAGGGTAACAAAGTTTTAATAAAAAATAATTCAGCGGTAATATACATAATATGTGTAAATGCCTTGACCGTGAGGCGTCGGCGCAGACTAGAGCCACTCCATCTCTTACCGCGCTGCTCGTCAAAGGGAGGGGGCTGCGTTCTCTAATTGCTATACATGCATATACACTGGTGGTGGGGCGTAATGTAAATCCGCACGGGCAGGAACCACCATTCTGCTCTTATATATTCGGGTATACAGAGTCGGACAGCCATTATACAACACAAGTGAGACTCCGGCCTTATGTCTCAAGATGGCTAGCGGCATTCACGATGTGGTGTCTATAGGCTCCAATAACCACTTTACACCTTCCTTACACCATTACACCTTTACACTTTCTGAAGTCGTCGTGGCCTAAAGGATAAGACGACCGGTGCATTCGTATGTCGCGATGCACCGGTGTTCGAATCCCAGGCGGGTACCAATTTTTCTAATAAAATACGTACTCAACAAATGTTCACGAATCACGACTAACTTCCACGATGAGGGAATAACATCTTGAAACCCACAAAATTATAATTTGCGTAATTACTGGTAGTACGACCTCTTGTGAGTCCGAGCGGGTAGGTACCACCACCCTGCCTATTTCTGGGGCAGACGTTGTAACTATACTTGAGACCTTAGAACTTATATCTCAAGGTGGGGGGCGCATTTAAGTCGTAGATGTCTATGGACTCCAGTAACCACTTAGCGCCAGGTGGACTGCAGGTCGTCCAACCACCTAAGCAATAAAAAAAACACCAGGTGGGCACAAACACGTTCATGAAATTACTTTACACACAAAAAAGAAAATGTCGCTGTTCGTTTTGATAGTATGCTGCGTCTGCGTAAACATGGCTGCGATGTTCATGTGGCCATCCTCTACGCTGACACTCTTCCAGTCCGGCTACACACCGCTGCATCGCCCCTTGACGGAGGCCGAGGCGAACATGCTAGGCAGCCTGTCCTCTCTGGGCGCTCTCATCAGCACGCCCTTTACTGGTATGATGCTTGACCGACTCGGTAGGAAGAACATATCCTTGCTCATAGGAGTTATAGGTGTGGTAAGTTACATTTTTTAGTAGAGTCAGGATAAAAACTACTTCTGAATCGGTTTTAACCACAATTGTTAGTTTGAATTCTTTCCCGATATTTTCTACCAATCATAAACGTAAATCTGTAATTATAAAGATGTACCTATTTTTTATAGATATAGATTTTAAGATAGATCTTTATCTAAGATAGATAATTTATAATCATACAACTTTGCTTTTAAGACCTAAGATGTAAGAGCTAAGAAGCTGTAAGTATCTTACCTCTTGTCGGATTTCATGATACTAGGTCAACGCAAAGTATCCTATGGGGGTTTTTATTAGTGCTAAAATCTAGGCCGGGGGGCAAAATACAGTAGTCGTCGGGATGTAGAGTGTATGAAATAGAGTAGTCTTCGGGACGTAGACAGTATCAGTATCAAATCGGGGCAATGCTTACGTTTTTCTACGAACTGGCTACATTGAATACTAAAGTGGCGTATTGGTTATCGAGGAGTTCGCAATCCTTTACGAACAAAGAGTTTGAGCGACGTTCGATAAGCTTAATGAGTTTTCAACAACTACTTACTTGTAGATTAGCATCAACAAAAAAAAAGTTCGCAATACATTACCTCCTCTTCTTTTTGGGGAACGACTACTACATAAGTTATGTTGTCATTTTGTAGATATCGTGGTCAATGATTTCCTTGTCCAACCGGGTAGAAGTGGTTCTGTCTGCCATTTTCTTGAGCGGCCTCAGCGGCTCCGTGTTCCTAGTAGTTCCAGTCTACATCTCTGAGATATGTCAGACCTCGATTCGAGGGACGATGACCTCTTGCTCCATGGTGTTCTACGGCGTGGGCATGTTGGTCTCGTACCTGATGGGCGGCTACATGAACTACTACCCCATGGTGTACACGTGTCTGACCATGGCAGTAGCTAGTACACTCTTCATTACCGTCCTGAAGGAAACTCCGGTTTGTCTGATGGCTAAGGGATTAAACGAGGTGAGTATTCTACATAGTATGTGTATAGTTAATAATTGGGCGTGCCAGCTTCGACGCGTGTGGAGCGACGGTAAAAAAGCAGCTTCTTGCCTTCAGAAGCTAAACTAGGCCGAAACGGAAATACTATTCTTCGATATCCGTTCGAAAATGATGAGGATGAGATTCTCATTATGAGTATCTACCAACACTGCTCAAAGCGGGCGACACTGCACGATTTTTCTGAACCGGTTGAGGTTAGTATTGGTACTACGGCACAACGGAATCGGTAAATCCACATGTGTAGGCCAGCTGTCGAATCGTGGAGAGAAGTTGATTCTAAAACCGGCTGGAGCATACACAGTGAGTACCGACTCCTCCAGAGACCGAGAGGCTCTTCCGGCATGTCCAGTGTCCAGCTTAATAAGAACATGTCAGCGCGGCCGGTTAATGCGTAAGGTGACGTCTTATTTGTCGAGTTCTTTAACGTCACGGATTCTTTTCAAATGCTTTTATATTACTTCCTGTTTTGACATTGAAAAGGATGATGGATATCTGGGCAGCCATTCATGACTTAATGCTCGGATCTTCTTTCGGTCTGATAACGGGCTTTTTAAAAACTTTATAAGGCGACCGAAGAACCAATCTCGCAAGGGTCGCTTTATTTCCGCCTCCACAATATCCAAAGTTACGAACATACCAAGATATCTCCGATTCACATAAGGGTTCAAGGGCTAAGCTATAGTGAATTTGTGAGCATTCAGAGTTTACAACTTTTCACATTTATCAATAACAAATTCCACTCCAATAGCCTATAGTTTATTTTAATTAAAATACGAAGTCTGGTTTTGTTGGAAACAAATAGTTTAGAGCTTAAAGGATTAAGCGCTGAAAGCCAAACAAAACCACAATAAATCAAAGCTGTCACCCAGATCATCACTGTCGGTATTATTTGTACTTATTTAATAAAGTAGATAGATCACATTACCCGCGCTACCACATGCCGCAAGGTCCACATATTTATTGTATTATTGTTACGAACACTTTTTTAATTTTCAAACGTTTCAGTCGAAAATTGAAAATATTAATGATCAAAATTTGTCGTTGGTAGGGCGTGCTGTGAGTCCGCACGGGTAGGTACCACCAGCCTATTTCTACCGTGAAGCAGTAATGCGTTTCGATTTGAAGGTCGGGGCAGCCGTTGTACTGTTAAAACTGAGACCTTACAACTCAGGCCTCGTGGGGATGGTGGCATTTATGTACGTTTTAAATATATTTAGGCTTCAGTAACCACTTAATACCAATTAGGTAGTAAGCTTGTTCACCAGTCTTAACCTTAAAAAATAAAAATGTAAATAAGGATAATTAAACCATGAAAAAACTGTTTTAGCACTTTATTAATTTACTTAATTTTTATACAATAGACATACTATATAGGTATATGTACTTCGAGTATATCAAGTGGATATATACTATGTGGTGGTAAACGACCCCACGCGGTGGTAACACGGTGGCCACACTTTTCTGATCTGATGTATTACCGTCGCGTAAGGATATCTGCAAAATGAGGAACTGTTTCGTTCAGTAAACACTGGTCAGGCAGTAGAGTCGGTGTCGGCACTCTGTCATATTGTTATTTGTGGAAGTACGTAATAATACATCGTAAATATTGTAGGAAGCAGCCAAGTCGTTGGCGTTTTATAGAGGATTAAAACCAGAGTCTAAAGAAGTGTTGGAAGAGTTGAGCATCATTCAGAGATCACTGTCTCCTGACTTGGACTGTGCAGGTGAATACATCTATGATGTTATATTTATTTCCTATTCGATATGTTCTTTCCACTGTCCCCCCATCTTTGCAATAAGAAAAGAAATATACACAGTCTGGCCATAAATACTGTTACAGTTGATAAGAATCAATAATATTACATTGGGAGCGTGTCTTTGTTATATTATGTAGTATATATGTATGTAAAGAAAAACCTTTTTTATGTATTTTTTATATAAAACCTATTTAGTTTTTTTTAAAAAAAGCAGTTTTCTTATATAGATTGACTGAGCTCTCTGTTGTTGAGAAAAAAGACGAGTTCAGTTTTATTTAATTCACGAATTCTGTGTAAATAATTTGAGGAAAATAAAGGCTTTAAATGTTGTTTTCTTAATATTGTACAGAAAACACAATTAAGGCTTTTATTATTGTTGAACCACTTTTAGAATATTCCATATCATTATATTATATATAGGTATATTATTAGGTTTTCGCAACTTTACGCCAACCTTTATTGAAGAATGTTTTAATATTAGAGAGAAGTTGGTTGATGCGGAGAACCGAGTCCCGACACCGACTGTACTGAGGCGGGGCGCAAAGGGCATTTGACAGTGGTCAGTGCCAGGGTACCACCCAAGCCTCTGCACAAACCTCTCGATTAGTCAGTAGGGTCCATCGAGGGGTAATGACCCGGTGTCTGTTGTAGAGCACGCCAGGCGCTGAGCGAGCGACCACTCGGCGTCCTTAAAACATTCCATGTGATTGGTATTTGCGAATTTTACCATGGAGAAAGTGCGGATTCCAATCGGTAACTGGTCACAACGCTTAAAGGAACGTATTAAGGTCAATGGAGATTATTCTGAATGTGCTTTATATTTTAAAGCTTGCTAAATGTATAAACTAACACACTGCAGTGACGAATGTATAACGTGTTGGAAAAAAATGTGTATTCCGTGTAACGATTTGTATTTATGGTCAGACTGTGTAACAGAGCGCTAAGCTCTGCGCTGTATTTACAATGCAGGGAGTCTTATGTAATCATACTAGTTCGTATAGTTGTCATAACATCACACAACACAAACTATAAACAAATTATACAGCAATATAAAAAGTCTACATGTCCGGGATTATCTTTATGAGAAGCAGTTGAGAGGGAACTGATACAACACGTCTCCTTGGCAAATGTCAACCCGAACAGTCATTCACTTATTCAGGTGGAACTGGTTTTCGTGTAGTGGTCCCGGGGGAAGGGCAGCAGTGTTCTGCTTTCGTCTGGCGGCTGTGCCAGCGAAACTGACACGTTGCTGCCTAGAGGTTTTTTTGCTGGTGGTAGGACCTCTTGTGAGTCCGCACAGGTAGGTGCCACCACCCCGCCTATTTCTGCCGTGAAGCAGTAATGCGTTTCGGTTTGAATGGTGGGGCAGCCGTTTTAACTATACTTGAGACCTTAGAACTTATATCTCAAGGTGGGGGGCGCATTTAAGTCGTAGATGTCTATGGGCTTCAGTAACCACTTAAAAGCAGGTGGGCTGAGAGCTCGTCCACTCATCTAAGCAATAAAATTAAAATAAAAAAGGTTTTTTTATACTTTAAAGCATGTCTCTTAGTGCAGAAGCGAGTGTTCCATAATTTGGTAGGTATTTAATTTTGTAGAGCGGTAACGATATCCCCTACTCGCCGAGTGCACCGAACTGTTGTTGCATTACTGTCTCATTATGTTAGTACATTTATGTTGTTGTTTTCAGAAGTGACTCCTGAGGAACAAAAACTGAATCCGGCCGACAGAAAACATCAAAAATTATCTGTGATACAGTTCTTGAGTGAGTTAAATTTCATTGAATAGTTCAATCCAGCACCGTGTTTTTTGTTGCAGGATAAATATTTGAGAAGTTACGTTTTGTGTGTGATCTGTGAACACCACACGTGTGTCCGCGCAGCACTTCCGGAGAAACGAACAGACATATCCAATATAATTTATATTCTTATGCTCTTCATTAACTAGCGTTACCTTTACTACTTTCCGTCAATGTGAACTTTTCCTCATAGACGCACAGAAATCTTCCTTAATATGTATTGTATATGTAAATGTAATGTGTAAATGTTTTAATTCACAGATAAATCAAGATCTACGCGCAAAGCTCTGTTCGTCTGCGTCACGATATTGACACTGTCAATATTCCAAGGATCGGTGGTAGTACAAGTGTACGCGGGGCCCTTATTCTCTGCGGCGATCCCGTCCGTGTCGTCCACTCTGTGCAGCGTGGTGGTCGCCGTGGTCACAGTCCTCACCGGGCTGGTCTCCGCCTACTTGACTGAGGTCGCCGGAAGACGAGTAAGAACATCGTCTGACAATGTTATATTAGGTTTACTTATCTAATACAGACAGAGTGGTACTTACAGACCGTTGTATAATACGCGCTCAAGCTGCTGGCCAGTTGTGCGACTTGAAGACGGCTTTGTACCCGTATTTCCTCATTCCAGCCGCTGATGATCCACTCGTCCACACTGAGCGGGTTGTGCTGTATCCTCCTCGGCACCCAAATACAGCTGGGCTGGGCTCCGAGCTGGGTGACTGCCCTCTTCATCTTTGTCTTCACCGCGACGTACAGCCTCGGCTCCGGCATGGTGCCGTACGTGCTGTTTGCTGAAGTATTCTTGCCAGAGGTGATTACTCTCATGATGTCCAGGGGCACCAGTGCAGATGGCGCGGCTCGTCGCTTTGTTCTGTTGTTACTGCTGGCTTATCTGTAGTTAGTACATCCATTACGAAGTCGGTAAATTGCAAGTAACTGCACGAGTAGACAGAAAGATTAAAAATTCCTTGAAACCTCACGGAACACCTGGTGTTAAGTGGTTACCGGAGCCCATGACATCTACAAAGTAAATGTTACCACCCACCTTATGATATGAGTTTTAAGGTCTCAGTATAGTTACAACGGTGACCCACCCTTCAAACCGAAACGCATTACTGTTTCACGGCAGAAATAGGCGGGGTGGTGGAACGCAAATTATTTTTTTGCGGGTTTGATTTTTGTTATACGGTGTTATTAATTCACCGTGGAAATCAATCGTGAACATTTGTTAAATATGTATTTCATTAGAAAAATTGGTTCTCGCCTGCCGTTGGGAATTCCGACATTTTAAATATTTAGAGAACAGTTTTCGGATGAAAATTCTTAAAATTGTAATGTAAAGTCGGTTGCATATTGTCCAGGTGAAGAGCTTCATGTCGATGCTGACGGTGGAATGGGCCTGGTTCTGCAACTACGTGATCCTGTTGATCTTCAACCCGCTGCTCAAGGTCGTCGGTCTGGGTCCGATTTTTTACATATTCGCGGTCATCTGCTTCGTGACCAGCGTATTCTGTATGCTGGAGCAGCCAGAAACCAAGGGCCTCCATTGCGAAGACATTCAACACTTATTCGATAAGAAGAGCAGTAAGGCGCGTCGGATCGAGGGCTCTGCGTGACGTCACTGAGATGAAGCTTCCCACGAGGGCGTTGCTAATGACGCGACGCGCTCACCCCAGGCCCCGGGCCCGCCTCATAGTGGATGCTGTTCAACGCCTTCTCCGAGAGCTCTTCAAGTGTCATAATGAATGTTACTAATTGCAATAAGCTAGAACATAAAATGCAGTGTACTAATAGATATTATCATATTAGATACACTTGTACGTACGATCCAACCAGCGACAATGACTCCGTTGAGTAATGACTGGGTGACGACGCGCGCCGCACATTGTCTATTGGCCTTATATTTTAGTTTATGTAATCGATGTTTGTATGTATATAGATTTGATATGTGTTTGCTGCACTTTTTACGGCTTAAATTATCTGGAAAATAATGTGAAAAAAAACCGACCACACTCGAGTGCGATAACTTTTAATTTAATTTAATTTAATTTATTTAATCTCTATATAGGTATATAAAAATGAATTGCTGTTCGTTAGTTTCGCTAAAACTCGAGAACGGCTGGACCAATTTGGCTAATTTTGGTCTTGAATTATTTGTGGAAGTCCAGGGAAGGTTTAAAAGGTAGATAAATATGAAAATGCTCGGAATTAAATGAAAATAACAATATTGTTTTCCCTTTGATGTGTCCCCCGTCGGACGGATTCCTTTTGTTTGTTTTAAGTTTATTTTGTACAAATGTTTAGATGTTTTATTTATCGATTGAGGCACTACAAAGTCTGCCGGGTCAGCTAGTTGTTTAACAATTTTAATAATTGTTTCGTTCTTTGAATACACGTTTTTTGTTCTGTTATTATTGCGACGGTATAGCGTTAGTTGCTTAGTTCACATAACTAAACGTTTATGCAAAGATACATTAGTTGAAGCTCCAAAACGTCCCGGGCAAAATTCTCGTCCAGCACGCGACCGACCCGTCGCTGTGTACATGGTGCTCGACCAGGCCTCCAGCCCGCAGCCTCTACCTGTCAATGTTGTATGTACGTACACACGTGGCGGCTACGGGTGCTGGATGAGATCTCTCACCGCCCGCTACCGGACTGTGGATGTGACACTCTTACTGTTCTGATTCAACTGAGCATTATTTAGTTCAGCGTCAATAAAATGCACTCTTTTACAGATACATTGTTTGCATTTTCTCACTGCATCCTTCGTCGGTGGAGCGGAGCAGTGCTCTTTGTTTTTAATTTCTTCAAGAAACACTCCACAGGGCCTCGTGAGCTCACCAACTCGCCTGGTGAATCCAGTATGACCCCTCGAGGTCACTGGAATAGGTAGAAAAAACATAATAAAGCTGGTGTCTCAATAATAAAACTACTTAGTGAATATTTGAAACTTGGAGGCCTTGCCTTACAGAAGAGGTCGTGTACGTCGTCACTCCAGCTTCTTTCACTTGTTTTGAGCTCATCGCGGCGGATGAGACGCGTGAGACGCGGGCGCACGCATGTACCGCAGGCACCTACCATTTTTTTTATGAAATACGTACTGAACAACAGGATCGTACATAATAAAATATCTATGTATTTTTTTGCTTAAATGGGTGAACGAGCTCAAGACCCACCTTGTGTTAACTGGCTATCGGATATAGATATCAACAACGTAAACGCCGCCACCCATCTTGATCCGTGAGTCCGTCTCAGTTTTACAGTACAACTGCTGTCCTATACTTAAAACCAGAATACTGCTTCACGGCAGAAATAGGTATCCGCGAAGATGAATAGCAGCAGACATGAGTCACTTTAATTATTGCGACAGTTAATGGTAGACTTCTTCACTTTGTTGAAGTGATCGTTCGTCCCTTCTTCTATGCCACGTTTATTGTGGATTCAACTCAGTACACAATTTCCTAAAAAATTCTGAAAGAACATTCAAGATCTGTTCTAGGCTCGTCTTCTTATGTAATTCGAACACTCTTGATATAACGGGAACACTAAATAAATGTTTTAGAACATATAATAAATGCTTTAGAACATTCAAGAAATGCCCCGGAATATTCAGGAATGTTCCAAGTATTTCAGTATTTTTGCTTTTTGATGATAGGTGATGTTACTCATACCGACCTAGAACTATTTGCGAATTTAGTTTTCCTAGCGAAATCTCATGAATAAAATTTAAGTTTCAATAATTTGTTTACTATTAATTTTGTACAAAATTGATTCATCCCCTCTGTGCTGAGTTCTTAGTTTTCTAATTATGTATATTTTTTTCATTAATTACAAGGAACCAACTTCGATTTCTCACTGACGATTATTTGGTTGACACACCTACACAAGTTAATCTGACGGCTGTCCAATAAAAGTATTTTTCTTGTTTGCAAACTTAATACATAATGTTGAATGATGAATAATTAGATCAAGGACAGTTTCGTAGTTACTGGCTTTATCTGCGGTTTCGATTACTTCGACTAAATCTCGAGTTGAGCTGCAGTAAACTTAAATAATTTCAAATTTTGCGGTAGGCAGCGGCTTGGCTCTGCCCCTGGCATTGCTGAAGTCCATGGGCGACGGTAACCACTCACCATCAGGTGGGCCGTATGCCCGTCTGCCTACAAAGGCAATAAAAAAAAAAATGTGTGCGTGTACTAGTGTACACACGTAAGAAGTGAAACTTGTTTATGGCCTTATTTTTCGAAAAATGATCTACATGCAACTTTCTAGAAATTGGTTAAATAAAGTTAAATTAGATAAAGTTTAAACAAAAGGATTTTATTATCATAGACATGAATACAAAAAAG